GAGGCCTAGACAGGCTGCATCCAATCTGGTGGATCTGGTGGAACGCTCTGTCACAAGAGATTAGGGCCCTGCGGGACCTGACATCTTTCCGCAGGGCCTGCAAGACAGAGCTGTTCCACCAGGCCTTTGGCCAGGGCACAGCCTGACTCCCTCCTTTGGCAATCCTCACAGAACTCTAGCCCAATGGTTGCCATTAATCTGATTGGAATTAATTTTATAATGAAATGATTTTATAATGTTTTATCATTTTACTGTTGTTAGCCGCTCTGAGCCCGGCTTCGGCTGGGGAGGGTGGGATATAAATTATTTTTTTATTATTATATTATTGTTATTATTGTTATTATTATTATTTTCCAGACATCAGACCCAAGGTTCCATACCCACGCTTTAAAATATTATACAAGCTAAGAGACAGTGCTGTTCAGATTTTTTGTTGTTTCTCTTAAGGATATGGAAATGGCTTTTTCAACATGAAAGGAAGTTAACATTTCATGTGCTCTGCATTAGGAATTAGAAGAACATCTCCTTATTGCAATCCCTCTGGCAACAAGCCTACACGCGAAACCTGCTTAACACCACACGCTCTTGAAAATGACGTCGGCCTGTGGAGAAAAGCGCTCAGGTGTGGCACTCATAAGTGGAGCTATCCTGGCAAACATGATTATAGGTAATGGAAAGTCCACGGCAGGTTTCGGTTGCAAACTGAATTAGGCCGCCGTTTGAAGGTAGCAAAAGTGAATTGTAGTGGGTTACAAAACTGAGGCTCAAGAACGGATGTATAGAGCTGCGATTCCCATATAATAAATTACGAACCAATGTAAGTTTAAATACATTGCAAGCAAACCCCAGAGACTTCTCAATGATCCAAAATAAGGAGCAGTTGCCCACCAATATAGAGCAGGGTTTCCCAATTAGTTAAGTACTGAGGAGTCCCTGTTTTTCAAAAGCCAAGTGATGGACCCCTTACTTTTGAAAAAAAAATCTATATGGTAGTTTTTGTTATGTGGATGTTGCCACAGACCCCCAGGTGCATTATGCAGACCACCAATAGTGAATCACAGACATAGCGCACATATTAATGCAACTGTTCCCATTAAAGAACCCAATAGTCAGGACTCTTACCTAGTGAAACTGTTCTCTAGATACTTCCGTGTTTGCTAATGCTATACAGAGTAAGCAAGGAAACAGTATGCCATTTAATCACTTTCTAATCTAGGGTCCTGAGCCCCTGGGCCTACCTGGCAGCAAGTCAGTATGTCAAGTCCCCAGTCAATCCATGTATCCAAAGGGATCTTAGAGCTTGCAAGCTGAGGTCCCTCATCATGGGTAGTTGAGCAGACACAGCCCCTCGGTTCTGCTTGCTTTTTGCACTTTGCTGCCTGCTGATTGCAGCACCTGGGCTTGATGAGGCAGGTGACCCTCACCTGTTCCAAGTCTACTCCAGCTAAGGAATCACAGCTCTCCTCCCAAAGTTAGCGAGCCCCACCTGTGGCCAGCTATGGAGCTGGGCTGTGGGTCTTCATCTGCCTTAGCTTCCCCCTGCTCCCTATGCCTCAAGAGCCTGCCCTGTTCTTGGAGACAGGGGCCCTTCTGGTTCCGGTGATTGGTCCTGCTGCTCTGGTTTCTGTGCACCAACCCCCATCTCCTTGCCATCTCCCATCACTCTGTGAGTACTTCCTTCCCCACCTCTTGCTTGCAACGAGTCCTGGCTGCACCCCTCACCACATAGTCCTGCCAGTTTATGCCATACAGGCACTATGTTGATGAGTTGCAGATGGTTCTTATCACTGAGATAAGAGCTGTGGAACTTTAATTATCCTAGGACCCCTTTGGGTATACGAGAACCCTCGGTTCTCAAACTTTTTGGTAGTCAACCTCCCTTAAGAGCCCAGCTACACAAAATAGCTAAATTACATACTGCACCCTCAGCCTGGACTGTTTAATGTCAAGCCATCCTTGTGAAATCAGCTTCATATAGCTAAACTGGTTTGGGGCTTGGCTGCGCTGGTTGGGGCTTATGAGAGCTGTATTGCTTACATGGTTAGTGGGGTGAATAGAAAGAGAGAATAGCCAGGGAAGTGTTGGGAGAGCAAAAGGTCTCCACCTCCATCGTTCTGCCCAGACACTGAGGTCCAGTGCAGAGGGCCTTCTGGCGGTTCCCTCGCTGCGAGAAGCCAAGTTACAGGGAACCAGGCAGAGGCCCTTCTCAGTAGTGGCACCCGCCCTGTGAAATGCCCTCCCATGGGATGTCAAGGAAATAAACAACTATTCGACTTTTAGAAGACATCTGAAGGCAGCCCTGTTTAGGGATGCTTTTAATGTTTAATAGACTATTGTATTTTAATATTCTGTTGGAAGTCGCCCAGAGTGGCTGGGGAAACCCAGCCAGATGGGTGGGGTATAAATAATAAATTATTATTATTATTATTATTATTAAAGCAACTGAGGCTGGTTACGGGCAAGCAGTTTACTGAATGAGATGTGTGATCGCCCAAAAGACCCGATCCCTCACTTGCAATCCTAAGTGGCTTGAGCCTAATGAGAACGGTACCATGTAATTCTTCCAATTGCCTAGGCTGATTTGAAGTTGGGGAAAATCAATCTGTTTGAGCCTCCCCCAGAGTAACACAAGTAAGATTACTCCATGGGAAAAGCTTATACAGTCATACCTTGGAAGTTGGATGGAATCCATTCCGAAGTCCACTCGACTTCCAAAACGTTCAGAAATCAAAGCGTGGCTTCTGATTGGCTGCAGGAATCTCCTGCAGCCAATCAGAAGCCCCGTTGGACATTTGGGTTCCAAAGAATGTTTGCAAACTGGAACAGTCACTTCAGGGTTTGCGGCGTTTGAGAGTCAAAACGTCCGAGTACCAAGTCATTCAGAATCCAAGGTATAACTGTACATGGAATGACACAAAGGAAGGTGAAAGCAGGGCCCATGAAGTATATTTAAAAAATGGATCACAAAGGAACAAACATCGGGGGGGGCAAAAAGGGGGGTCAATTCAATGGCTTCTATTAACATATTACACGTGGCCCAGTCTGCAACTGCTAGCACTGTACTTATTTTGGGGGGAAATGGAGAATGTGTCAAAAGTCCACTTCCTTGTATACAAAAATTGGGATTTTAGGAAGAAGGAAGAGCTCTTCCAATGTGCATCAGCTCATGCCTGTATAGGGAAGGCCTGTGTGTCACTTTCAGAACCGTGGGTTCCCAGGAGTTAATTTATGGTTCCCACTTCACAGAATCCAGACTCTCCTCTGTTTTGCCTCAAGAGAAACAGCCACACAAACAGCAATACGATCTTTTTCTTGGGCAGGCTTCGTAATCCCCAGCAAGCAGACATGCCCTGATAAAAATCAGCTAAAGTACCCTGGGACTCCTTTTCTGTATACACAGGGATTATGCCTTCAGGATAGCAAGATCAACAAACTCCGGAGTACTCCTGGCTGCCTGAACAGTCTAACACAGAAGCAAGTTTCATGCCTTTTCTCAACATGATTTGAGCAGCTCAAATGCCACCGAGTTTCCAAAACCATATCCCCTCAACCCCCTCTTACAGAAACACTACATTTTTGCCAATGGCTGGCAAAGTTATTGGTGAATCGCAGAAAGGAGTTCCTGGGTCAACACTCATCTTGGGAGTCCACATCGACCGAGTTTTAAAAGTGGGGACAACTTCTCTCACCACAATTGCCTTTAGGAGATAGTCACTGTTTCTGACCTTTTTCTTGACCTGGGTCCCCAGCCACTTCACCCATCTTCTCCTATTCTCCCCCCACTTCCTTTCTGCAATTGTAACATTTCCGCCCTGTGAACACCTTTGAGGGCAAGGAGGGCCACACTGCTGGTGCATTTGTGCATTCTGTATCATGGCCATATAGCCTTCATTTGTATCTCACACTTGCAGTGATGAATAAAACCTAGATTACGGCTCCTTTGGCGATGTACCTCCAGCTTGTATTCAAAGGGTAGGAAACCTGAAGAGAAGTCTTCAAAAACCATTCAGTATGCCACTCACGTACAAAGATCAGCCTTTATCTCAGATTAGGCCATCTCCACTAGTTTCCGCAGCAGAGGTTCTTGACAAATATATTTATTGTGTGCGCATGAAACCACATGCCCAAGATTTATGTTTTTAAAGTAGCGTTTTGCAGAAGGCAGAATACAGACAAACAGTTTGGCTGGACAGCTGTATATCCTTCCTGGTTCCCTTTATTGCTTCTTTCTTTTTGTGTCCCATTTCAATTTAAACGAGAGGGGGAGGAAATCACTTAAAACTACAGAAGAAAAACAGAATGCGCATAAACACACAGATATAGATTACATCCAAAATACTTCCAACGCTTTAGAAAAATGTTCTCTTTCTATAACTATGGTACAGATTTTTTTAAAACCGTTGCGATTAATGTGCAATTTAAAAGATACAAAAAGAAGCCTTGTTGACTAAATGACTTTTTTTTTTTTTTACTTTTCACAAGTTTCTCTGTTGCCGCTTAAAGAGAGAAGAGTTACGGTTTTCGCTACGTCTGGAAAAGCGCTGGGTAGCTTGCCTTTCCGAATGCCAGTGTTTAATTCTACTTGAACGTACAGCATTTTGATTTGTAAGTTGACTACTCTGTTAAAGAGAGACAGAGAGAAAGGGAGAGATTATGTCCTATATCAGTATAGTAGAACCAGCTAAATAGACATCTTTAATCTCGTAACATGATGAAATCATTATAAATTACAGCTCATTTGTTAAGTGATTATGGTGATGCATGCAGTCTTCCTTGGTACTGTTACCAGCGGATAAGCATTGGACGTTTCCCATACTCTACGAACAGGTGCCACTGTCCTTTGTTTTTCCTTTTAAAGTAGACTCTGGACCAGCAACCAGCCTGGTGTCAATGACTCAGTACGGTGGAACGAGGCGCTTCATCTCACGGCATCCTACCACCACCATAACCACCCTCCCAAACCCCCAAAATTGGCCCGCGTGGGTATTTGCTGCTTCCTTTCAGCCGCAGGAGATCACAGTGAAACGCTTGGAAATGCACGACATGTTGTGTAGGACAATCCCAAGGAGGAAAACCAGGACGCAGGCCACCAGGATGACGGTGCAAACCCCCGACCAGGTGGAGCTTTTCGCAATGCCCCTCCTGTCTTGATCTTCGTCGCCTCCCTCCTGAGGGATGCCGGACTGCAAGGGCTGCTGCTCGGCTGGGATTGTCACCACAGTGAGAGACTTCTGCTGGCTGCCTGGCAGCAGGCGGCAGCCAATGTCTCCTGGCAAGAGGGACCTCTCCTTGGAGATGGGCAAGGGCAACATGTAGCAGCCATTGCTGGGAAGTTTGATGAAGACGGGAGTGTGCTCTGAAGTGTGGGGTATCGCAATCACGGCAATGACCTCTGGGTCGTCGGGCAGCTGGGAGACGGAAAAGCCCGGCGGCAGTTTAGTGATGCCTCGGCACCACGGGCACCGCAAGTCTTTCTGGCTGGTCCTCATCTGCTGAAGGCAAACAGAGCAGCAGGTATGCTTGCAGTCCAGCAATTTGGGCCTCCGCCGGGGGCTGTAGTAATTGAAACAAATCTGACATTCCAGAAGAATGTCCTGGGACAGAGTCTCCATCGCAGTCCGACTGGCGAAAGCAGTGAGATATCACGTTGTTCGGCAGTCCGGTCTCAAATCTAATGCTTGGAGCAGTTCCTGGCCTCCCACGGTGACTAGCTTGTATTCTACCACCAGGCGAAAGGAGGCAAGGAGTCCGTAGCGAAGCATCTGACTGGGAGTCCGTCAATATCTGAGAGGGAAATTTAAAATGAACAGAGTTAATCATAAAGGTCTACTAGAATACTGAAGGGGGTGAGGGATCTAAAGACATCCTTTTATTGATGCAGAGGATAAGTGAACATTGCAAAACCGTAGCATCTTAAGCATAATGCTTATGGCTAATAAATTCCCCTAAGCACAAACATTACCAAACCATGGGTTTTAGCCTCATATACCAGGGACATTGAACAAAAAACACACACAGCCTAAGCCTTTTTAGCTGATTATAATGATTTTTGAAGAAAGCATTTCAGACTAATAGTCTGAATTCCACATTTTTACTTGGTTAATAAGGCTATTTTCATGCAGGAATCAAAAGGACAGTTTGCTCGTTTTCCATGCTTCGTGAACAGACTTCATGTGAACGCTTCATAAAAGCTTTGAACAAATGGTGAATAACCCAAGACCAATTTGAAGGTAATGTGGGAGGACACAAACCTAGAGATTTTTCCTCCCAACTTGATTGAAATTTACAGCATTGCATATATCATTGCAATCATCCTCTGGTTCAAATTCAGTGGAAAAGCCTCTGCAAACCTTTAAATGTTGGAGCTCACTTTTAGGAACAGGTTAGGCAGTTGCGAGTGACCAGGAACACATATAAAGTATGTATATATATTGCAGTGTTTAATCTATACAGTAAGCACATGGTTTATGAAGTACCTGTCTCCATGACAGTAATGCTTGGACAATGACACTTAAGAGCTCTGTTGACACTTAAGGCTAGCGCTCCAGAGCCACTTCCCTACTGATGGCTTCTTCTGTGGCTCCAAGGAAAAATGTTACTACAAAACTTTGCGAATAGGATCAAACACACAATTTCTGTTTCCCTGACCATTGCATTCCTTTCTGGGCAGAATAGCAACCAGGTGGAAGAGTGCCACAACTGTTTCCAATCCGTAGAGCTCTCATAGTCTCATACCAACTGAAGCAGCAGGGGAAGGATAATCAGGAATCGGTTCTGCACCATTCACAGTAAGTCTGAATGGGGCCTGATAAAGCAACTTTCCCAGGAACATTCTAAGGTTTAGGACCAGGTAGCTCTACCATCCCCAAACATTACATTGCATCCACTGCAGGCTGAAACAACACAGCAGTACATATGCAAAATCCAAAGCAAAAGAAATAGAGGACGCTGCCCTAAAACACAGTCACAAAATGGATAAGACGAACACCAAGGATCTGCTCCCAATTATTTTTATAAAGGAGAAGGTCAACGGCTGAACTTCCGCAAATAATTTTTTTAACCATGCTGGCTTTCCTATCTCCCTGTGTTTTAAAACCTCTGGCACAATTGAACTTTGAAGTGTCATCAGGATCGACCTCATTTTCTCTCTGTCCAGTCCTGGAGTTTTGCTCGTAGGGTTATCATCTCTCTTGCTTGGCTTTAATCTGCCGCATGGCTAATTACATTAAAAGTTATTAAGAAGGAAAATGTGTGTTGAGAAAGTAGTGAAGTATTAAGACAAGCAGTGGCATAAATTGCGAGCAGTGTAACTAACAAAATGGTAATACAGGATGGATCTAAACATTATATATAGGCAGAGTGGACGGTACGAAAGTAAATGCAACGAAGTGAAGCTGGAGGCAGTAAAGGAGTAACTCCTCACTATTCGGTGAGCCTGGAATAATCATGCACTTAATGTGTTAATAAAATCATAGGGGCGCAGGTGGCGCTGTGGTCTAAACCACTGAGCCTCTTGGACTTGCCAATCAGAAGGTCGGAGGTTCGAATCCCCGCAACGGAGTGAGCTTCCATTACTCTGTCCCAGCTTCTGCCAACCTAGCAGTTCGAAAGCACACCAGTGCAAGTAGATAAATAGGTACCACTGTGGGGGGAAGGTAAACGGCATTTCCGTGTGCTCTGGTTTCCGTCACGGTGTTCCGTTGTGCCAAAAGCAATTTAGTCATGCTGGCCACATGACCCAGAAAGCTGTCTGTGGACAAACGCCGGCTCTCTCGGCCTGACAGGGAGATGAGTGCCACATGCTCATGGTTGCCTTTGACTGGACTTAACAGTCCAGGGGTCCTTTACACTTACTTTACCTAACAAAATCTACATGGAACATGCACCTTAAGTGCTCATAAGTCACAGCACATAAAAGAATCCAGAAACATTAACAAGCCAGCAGCAATATAATGGCTATGCACAATTTTTAAAATTCCAATAATTGATTATTATTTCGGTGGCAGTGGCAAGAAGTAGAAAAAACTAAATAGGACAGCACTGCAGAGAGATTTAATGTCCCCCCCCCCACAATTGCTGATCTGCAGAAATGAGCTATGGGGGATGTTTGTGTGTGCCTGCAAGATTGTGGCATGGCCACACACACAGCTGGTAGGTGGGTCCTGGAGGAGTGGCCGAGGATGAAAGTTAGCCATCCCCGGATTTAAGTCTGTAATGTTTGCAAACTTTATAAAAGCTATGCGCACACGATTGTAACAAAATGGCCTCGACCCACTATACCTAAAGGAGCATCTCCACCCCCATCGTTCTGCCCGGACGCTGAGGTCCAACGCCGAGGGCCTTCTGGCGGTTCCCTCACTGCGAGAAGCAAAGCTACAGGGAACCAGGCAGAGGGTCTTCTCGGTAGTGGCACCCATCCTGTGGAATGCCCTCCCATCAGATGTCAAAGAGATAAACAACTACCTGACATTTAGAAGACATCTGTTCAGGGAAGTTTTTAATGTGTGACATTTTAATGTATTTTTAATCTTTGTTGGAAGGCACCCAGAGAGGGTTGCGAAAACACAGCCAGATGGACGGGGTACAAACAATAGATTATTGTTGCTGTTGTTGTTAATATTATTATTATTATTATTATTATTATAAAACTTTCAACCAAGACATGCAACTTTTACAAAGCAAAGTGCTTCCTTACACAGCACCCCTCATTGCTGCTTTCCTGAGTACAATAATCCGTGGAACACTTTGAAACATTATCGCTACCACATACAAACCATTAACTCTCTTCTCTGGGTTTCCTCAAAATAACTGAGCCCCACAACACATCTTCTAACGCTGTTACGTAATGAACCAGAAAGCAATTTTGCAGATACAGTGGTGCCTCGCAAGACGAAATTAATTCGTTCCGCGAGTTTTTTCGTCTTGCGGTTTTTTTCGTCTTGCGAAGCACGGTATCGGAAAAGTTTTGGAAAAGCTTCAAAAATCACCAAAGTCTTCAAAAACCTCAAAAAAGGCTACCACACCGCATGCTATGAGTTGCTCCTCGAAGTCAAGTTGCAACTGTATTAACGGTTTTAAGAAAAAGGAAACAAACTTGCAAGACGTTTCCATCTTGCGAAGCAAGCCCATAGGGAAAATCGTCTTGCGAAGCAACTCAAAAAACCAAAAACCCTTTCGTTTTGCGAGTTTTCCATCTTGCGAGGCATTCGTCTTGGGAGGTACCACTGTAGGTAATAATAAACACCACCCCTCAGTGGGCTTGGAATGTCTTCATGCCCTGCCTGATGGCACTCCCCATAGGAGCATTTTCATACAGAAGGCTTGGAGGCATTTCTTTCTTTTATATACATAAAAATTTATTTATTTGGTTTTCAAATTAAAGTTTGCAATCACATATCCAACATACATCATAAAAACAAGATTCCAAAGAATCTCCTCCCCTTTGTGGGTCCTATTGTTAGTCATTTCCTCCTGCATCTTTGATAATAAACCAAATCTTTTACATCTCCATTATATCCCAAATTCACCATTAAACTACAAGTGTTATTCCATGGAGGCACTTATTTCGCCACTGCACAAAGCAAGACTGGGAACTAGACGGACATTTGTTCTGATCCAGTAAGTCTCTCTTGACATAATACCAAAGTTAACAGACAACTTTTTATTATTATTCTGCCCTTCCTCCATGGAGCTCCAACCATTATATAAGGTCTCCATCGCCTACACACACATATATGTTAGAACACTAACAATTCCATGAGTTGGTTTAGACTGAAAAATAGTGGCTAGTGGTTGATCTGAACCTGCCTCCCCAGTCCAACGCTTTAGACCTATTCAGGCAAGAAACCAGGGCAAACCAACAGATTTCAGCTATGTTCACACAGTATGGTATTCGGAAAAACCCAGGATCTAGATCAGGCATAGGCAAATTCGGCTCTCCAGATGTTTTCGGACTACAACTCCCATCATCCCTAGCTAACAGGACCAGTGGTCAGGGATGATGGGAATTGTAGTCTCAAAACATCTGGAGGGCAGAGTTTGCCTAAGCCTGATCTAGATGGTAGCGACAGAGCAATCTGCCTAGGCCAGGGGTTGGCAATGTTTTTGTGGCTTGGGCCAGTTCACAGTCCCGCAGACGCCGCGGTGGGCCGGAGTGTGTGCGCACGTACACGCATGTGCAAACACTATTTCCAGCATTCCTTCTGGCGCGGAGGAGGCGTGCGCAGCTTCCCATTGGCTGCAGGAGCTTCCTGTAGCCAATGGGAAGCTGGTCAGCGTTGTGGATGGCGGTCCCCTCTCTGCTCTGTGCCAGTTTAGCGCGGCGCACGGGAGCTGACAGAGCAGGCGGTGGGGGTCCATGGGCCACTTAAATGACCCCCATGGGCTGCTTGTGCCCATGGGCCTTAGGTTGCCAGCCCCTGGCCTAGGCTCTGTGTACAGCAGGTTCAGAAGAGTACAGTGGTACCTCAGGTTACATATGCTTCAGGTTACATAGGCTTCAGGTTACACACTCCGCTAACCCAGACATATCACCTCAGGTTAAGAACTTTGCTTCAGGATAAGAACAGAAATCGTGCTTTGGCGGCGCGGCGGCAGCAGGAGGCCCCATTAGCTAAAGTGGTGCTTCAGGTTAAGAACGGACCTCCGGAACGAATTAAGTACTTAACCCAAGTTACCACTGTACACAGAAGTTGAGAGTGGAGCTGGAATGTCAAATCCTAACCTCCTTCACGAGTTCATTCGCCCTGGGCTCTAATGTGAAAAGTGGACTTCCCAATGTTCTCCCTTACTGGCATTTGGTGACACACTTACTATAGGCATTTGGTTCAATGGAAGAAAAGCTGCTGCTCCATATATTTCTTAGTTAACACATAAAAAGGCCAAAGGAACAAGCAAAAAACCTGAGTGACAAGGCAAAGAGCTTCTCCAAAGATGAGGTGACGATTATACCTCTCTCTCCAACCACAAAGTTTCCGCAACACTTTAGAAAGCCAGCCAGGTCTCATATGAGGGCACAGCTGACTTCAGCAGCAGTCAAAAACATTGTTTTATCATTAGTACTCTGGATTATCTGATGACAGCCAAGAAAATGTTGCTGACAGAGAAGACCCAGAGCTAAAGAAGACTGCCAGGGGTATCCTTAGGACTCTTTAAAGGACAGTGAGAGGGGAGGGGTGAGGGCTGGGAGGCAGCAACACTCAAGTGAGACCAAAAAGACAGAGACAACCAGAATCATGATTAATATCCTTGGCTAGTGCAGATCTGATAGCAGCTGAAAGCTCTGCAGGGCTGAGCTATATCTACTAATGTTAATAAAAGCTAACCGAGTATGAAAAACCATGGGCAGAAGACACCAAGCGATAGAAAGAGATGCATTAGCAGCAGAAGGGAGTGGAGAGGGGGAAATCGCTTGCCTGACACAGATTTTCCCTCCCTGCTCTTTGATGCTCATGCTCATTGCTAACATGGCTCCAATAAATGAGAGCTGAGAAAAACAGAGACACCAATATTTAAAGATGACAAAAAACAGAACATAGAGAAAACAGCTAAGACTACGCTTTCTGCAGCACAGCACAGCAAAGCTAATGGATGAATATGCTAGAACTTGGTTCAAAGCGGTTTTTTCCCCTCTTGAACCTAAGAGTAAGTAAAGGAAAGGATCCCTGGACAGTTAAGTCCAGTCAAATTTGACTATGAGGTGCGATGCTCACCTCTGCTTTCAGGCCGAGGGAACTGGCGTTTGTCCACAGACAGCTTTCTGGGTCATGTGGCCACCATGACTGAACAGCTTCTGGCTCAACGGGACACTGTGATGGAAGCCAGAGCGCATGGAAATGCTGTTTACCTTCCCACTGCAGTGGTACCTATTTATCTACTCATGCTGGTATGCTTTCACACCGCTAGGTTGGCAGGAGCTGAGACAAAGCAACAGGAGCTCACCCCGTCATGGGGATTCGAACAGCTGACCTTACAATCAGAAAGCCCAAGAGGCTCCATTGTTTAGACCACAGTGCCATTTGCGTCCCTAAGAAACACACTATAGAATCTGCTTTCCATACACAAGACTGAGAGAAGAATTTGATTCAGTCTGTTTTATAAGGTGAATACATGTTGAATAGACTACTCTGTCCCAGTACAAACGCTTCTCCTCCGCTCTCTGTGTGTGATAGGATTAGACACTGAACAGTAAATAACACTTTAAAGTTCATCACTGAAAAGTTCTATGGCCGGCTGCCATTTTCACCTCTCCATAAGCTTCAGGCAGAGCAAGATGCTTCTTGACGAGAGAACAACATTACAACAGGGGTCTGGTATCTGCACAAGCATCCTCCAGCATATCCTGATTCAAACTTAGCTTTGGCATGCAGGCCAGCTGGCAAAGAAGCCACTTATTTGGTCACCTGTGTTAAGCAAAGATCACCTCTCGAGTCAGGAAGGCAGGGAAGCTTTTGTGCAATATTAAGGGGAAACCTGGTTCACAAACAATTAACCACGGTCTGCCAGTTCTGAGCATGGCTTAGAGATTTATTTATTTTTTAAATTGTCCCAGGTACACCATGATTATCCCCGACTGAGGTCTAATATGCACAAAAAAATGGATTTTTTATGGATTTACAACTTCACAGGGCTTCTGGGCGAGTGGATATCAGAAAGTTCCCACAAACAAAACTCTTTATGCATAGAAAAAGAGAGAGGAGGTTTCTTGGCATCCACAGATGTGACCTCCCCACACCTGGCAAGTGGAACAGTTTTACCATCTGAAGGGGCTCTTTGTTTAAAACCAGGCCCTCTGGAGGACGTCCCGCTTGTGGGCTTCCTAGAATTGCATGGCTGGCCGCCACGGATATGGCAAGCTGCGTTCAAAACAGTTCTGTGGAGTGCTGATATTTGGAAGAGAGCCTGCCTACTTCCCAGGAGCATTGTGGAGAGAACTAGGGTGGCAAGTGCTGTTGCTGAAATGGCTAGCTGTACTTACTATAGAGGCTCCAGGCCTCAACTGCGTTATCCTAAAGTAAGCAGTTTTCATAACAAACTGGGCCTGTTCTTAGCAAAAGCCAGAGAGCACCTCTGCTGCAGGAGGATGCAGGATGCTAGACTAAACGGGTCCTTGGTCTGACCAATCAGTGCCCTTCTAATTTTTCTATCAGAACACCAAGTCAAGACGGTTCAGGCCCATAGCTGTCAAGCGTCCCTTATTTGGCGGGACAGTCCCTTATCCCAGTGTCATGTCCCACTGCTGTCCCTTATTGATGAGGCTTCATTTGGCTGCTGGCTGGGCTTTCTGCCTTTGGCTCGGGGGGCTCAGAAGTTGAACATACCTGTGCCTGGAAAATCCCTTATTTTGGCTGCTGGTCCCTTATTTTCGAGGCAGCCGGTCCCTTATTTTCAAATCTGTAAGTTGACAGCTATGTTCAGGCCTTTCTGAGGGCCAGCCTGCAACTGAAGAGACCTTTTCTCTTGGGACATGAAACCATCCAGTGGGCTTTTGCCATTAATTAGATTATATCCAATTGAACTGGATAGATTTCCCTTTAATAACACCAGCACAACACACATACACGATGCCGACTGTGAGCCTTACAGCTGAGATGAGTAATATATTCACAGTACAAGTAAAATCACGCCCGACTCAGAATCACTGGATAGCCCTGGAGAAATCACCTTAAAAGAAAACTTGGCTGCTCCATTTCTATCAGCAGAATGGTCAGTCATGCACATTGATCCTAATAATCTGTGATCTGACCCTTCTCCGCTGAATTTTTCTCCCCATCAATTCCAATACTTTTAGTTCCAGAACCAATATACCAATACCAGCCTAGATAGTGAAGTGCTTAAACTAAGAATTAAACTTTCTCTCTCTCTCTTTTTTTTTGGGGGGGGGGGAGAGAAAAAGCTCAAAAGCTTATATTATCCCTGAGCTTCGAAGGCTACCCACCACGCTATGTCTTTTCCGTACATAACATTGGTTGCTAACATAATCACGACGAGTTCTGAAGTTGCAAACCGCGAACAAGCCTATGCATTCGTAGATATCATCATTCTACAAGGTTAATATCAAGCTTTCAAGCTAGGCAACCTATTAGGATGCTTCACCTATACCAAGGAAGTTTCATTACGCAAACTCCCCAAACGCATTAAGCATCCTTAGGAACCATTACAGACTATGTATGATTTATGACAGCGTCTGTTGCCCTAAGGCAGTGGTAGCGAGGGGAGGGGGAGAAACATCGAGGAGGGAAGGTGCCATGCGTTCTCAACAGAGAAATTAATTGCCAGAATCACCCGCACTAAAATATAAACAGGATGCGTCTGTTTGGAACTTTTCAAATTAACAGCAGGAGGAAAATGCTGTAAATTAAAATGTTGCCAACACTTCCACAAATGAGTTTGGAGCTGGAGCTTGGGTTTCATTTATTTTGAAACCGACAAAAGCTTTGCTGCTGCTTTCAACTCTGAGAGGTTAACTGTTTGCTTTCTTCAAGTACTCTTTGCAAAGAAAATGACTGCCCTTGTTTAGATTTTCCTGTGGCTCCAACTGCTAACAGTATCTCAGCGGTATACAAACACGAAATAATTTATTCCCCTGTGTAGAAGGAATGGCAATCAACACACGAAACAACAACAAGAAAGGAGGCTTATTTTAGACATTTGAGGGGGGGGTTGTTGTTTGGATCCAACTCCCATCAGTCTCGACCGGCAGTGCCAATGGTTGGGGGGATCAGGGTTGCATCTGAGCAATATCTGTAGGGATATAGTTTTCTCAGCCCTACTGAATGCTCTGGCAGCGCTGAACTGAATCATTTGCTTGCCAAACACTGCTTGCATCATCTGAATCCCCCACCATCTGAAGAGAGATGGGTGGTAACTAGAGTCATAACCACATCTTTGGAATGCCCTCCCATGACAGAGGGTCATCTAATGTGAAATTTTATGTTAATTCTGGCACCAGGTAGAAACAGGTTTATTTGCCCAAGCTTTTAAGAGACAGAGGGGCCTTCTCGATAGTGGCGCCAGCCCTGTGGAACACCCTCCCATCAGATGTCAAGGAAATAAACAACTATCTGACTTTTAGAAGACATCTGAAGGCAGCCCTGTTTAGGGAAGTTTTTAATGTATGATGTTTTATCATTATTATTAATTATTATTATCATCATCATCATCATTAATTCTGTTGGGAGCTACCCAGAGGGGCTGGGGAAACCCAACCAGATGGGCAGGGTATGAATGAATGAATGAATGAATGAATGGTGGTTGTTGTTGTTTGTTGTTGTTGTTGTTGTTACATCAACAATGGTGCAAAGGTTAGTTTTTTCCTCATCTGCTTTGCTAATATTTTGAACTGAATTTTTATATCGTTGCCCTCCTCTTTTTTGTTTAAATGTGATTTTATACCTTTTAGAACATTACTTTAAAAAATAAATAATGGGAGGGTACATTTTGTTCTCCGTATAGTTCTTTCCTTCACTTGGTCAATAGCTTTACGAACAGAACAGAGAAAAGCCCACTGTGTTCCTTCTAATCTGACATCCACTTTTGGTATTCTCTCCATAAATACCAGCCCTAAAAGAGATGGTTGAAAAAGAAAACTCATTTAAAATAAGCCACTTTACAAGCACATTTCTCACCAGTACAAATCACTGGATAACTGAGCTGGAATTTTCTTGAAGTGGCCAACCTGTTATAGGAGAGAACAGCACAATTCTTGAGGCCAAAGTGATTTAGAAAACAAATCCAAATCTCCAGCTGGAACACAATAATGGAGAAAATACTAAGGCACTACCATATGTAAAATGTTTTTTTCCCCTCCTCAAAAAAATAGTGCCATTATATACGCTCACCTAAGGAAATAATGCTTTTTAAGATGAGTTTTAATTGTTTGCCACTCTGCTCAGTTTTCCTGTCTGCGAGCAAGGTTTGGTGAACTTGCTCTATCATATGCAAACATGATTTCCTGAGGAAGCGATTTGGTGTGTCCAGGAGTTGAAGAGAACTTAGCAGCAAGACTCAAGCTTTTATGTTGAAGGAAACTGCTTGATTAAGCTGGCGACAATCAACATTTTTTATCCATACAAGCAGGAGCGAGGAGAAGTCTGGTTTTCTCATTCATCTCATCATGCAGTTCACTAAATATTCACCTAAGAGTAGCATGCTGACAGCGAAATAACCTCCCTGCTTTTCCCCTATTCCTATTATTATTATTATTATTAAACACACTTTTGAGTCACCCACTTTTTAGCTATGTTTGCTGTACATCAGAATTGGCAGGAGTGAATTTATTGTGCATGCTGGGTAAACCTCACACTTACTTGAGCCATACAGAATCAATATCACTCTGCTTTTTAAACTTCATTGATGTTACTTTGCTTGACAATAGTTAATGAACTGCACTGTAAGCATAAGTATTCAGCACACTGCCATGAGGAAAAAGCAATGATGCAAAAACTAAGGGAAAGCTGCAGCATACTATATTTCACAGAGAGGTAAAGCAGTTGAGAACTGAGGCCTAGTTGATTATGACAAAGCGTGTTCTCCCTAAAATGAGAGCACAGGTTGCGGTGGGGGCCGCCGGGCCAGCCCTCTGTTGCCTGACAGGTTAATGGTTATTGCCTGGCACAACGATTGGCTGACCGGGTTACTGGGGCAAATTGCATGTAGCAAATTGGGTGGGTGGGACCATAGGCTTTAAATATTGGGGCACACTGGCTTTTGCTTTCTCTTTCGCAGAGTGCATCGGATCACCCGCCCGCCCTGTGTTCCGGTTGACCTTGATATGCCTGTCATGGGGTCGTCTGCCGTTGGGGCAGGGACTTAGTAGGAATTTTGTCCATTTGGCTGATTGGCTGGTGCCATTTGGTTTTTGCCTACTACTTAGCAATTCATCACAACTTGTAAGGTTGCGGTTAGGCATTGGTTATAAAAATTGGTGGTGGAGGGGTCAGGATAGGCTGTGCCTGCCCCTCCAATGGTGCTGGAAGGGAATTCCGTTAAAGGAATCCTGGGGCTTGCCACGATTTCATCCAATCCCTGAAATGGGACCAGGGCCGGCAAGCCTTGGGGAGCTGGTTGGGTGAGCGGTGAGGGACTGTCGCTCAGCTCAACTGATCCCCAACATTGTTTACCCTTCACTGGCTTCCGATGGAGTTGGAAAGTCAGTTCTGTCCCAGGCGGGGGGACAGATAATCATAACCAATGTCTAAGCAACCACTCACAGATTTTGTATTTTAATAAAAGTTGTGGCCAAAATAGTGCCAAAACCTTAAACTAAAATTACGTGTGATTTGTGAATTATTTGAGGGGTGGCTTGGGGACCTCCACACACAAAACAGAAATCCCGCTCCCAGCAACCATTGAGAATTGCTAAAGGATGAACATGTGCACCTGGACTTCCCTATAGGCATGCTCATTCAGACAGGGTTGTGACACGTTTTGTTACAGAAGACCATTCAAGACCTAAAAACTCCAGTTATTTATACTAAACAGGTCTTTGAAGTGCCCAAGGAATGGCCAGCGCTTTGCAGAATAAAAAGTTCAGGACATAAGTGAGCAACATTAATACTGATAGCTGGTGAAATCCAAGGCAGTGTCAAAAGAACTTGCCAAGAGGTCAAGACTGGAGAGAGATGCATCAAGCCAGGGACCCAAATTGCATCAATACTGGGAACAGAGGATCAAGCAAGCCAGGAAAGGTCAAATCCAGGGAGTCTCCTCCAGGAGCCCGACAAGACTAGCAGATGGAGAAAGCAGAGAGAACATGAGCAGGGTATTGATAGAGCAGTTAGCTGGAAGAGGAGGGAAAATAAGGACCTTAGAAGAGTGAAAAGCTACATTTGAGAAGTTAAGTGCAAGGAGCAGTTTGTTGGGGAACAGCTTGGTTGTATAATCTTGCAACTGTACTATATTCCAGTGTTACAGGAAAATCCTTGGGCTCACTTGGATTACCAAACAAAGGCACCAGCCAGGAATATAGGAGCAAAGCAGCAGCCAGTAGGCCTGGTCTTTATTCCAACAGGACTTCCACCTAACACATGGGAGAAGCAGGAAGAAGCCCAGAACAAAGGATGGCTCCCACTTTTATCAGTTTTACAATTTCCGCCCTCCCTTCCCTACAGGTGGGCAGGGTTTGCGGCACCGAGCGGGGGCTCACCTGGACAGGTGCCTCCCACCTGCTTGGGTTGGCCTTTGACCCACCCTCAGCCAGGGAGAACAATGGACAGCCGGCCGGGGGTGGGGCTAAGGTCAAAGAAAAGAGGCTGACCCCTTTGTCCAAGCCCCACTTGGTTTTCCTTCCTTCCAGGATCACCCACCCTCCCTCAAATTAATAATTCCTTGCATCCAAATAATTTCATCCTAGGTCAGCGGTCATCAAGTTAATGATACCTTTTCCTTATAGATTAATGTTTTGCATTCCAGGTCAGCAGGCACTGCTGCGGCCGTAAGATGGTTGCTGTATTCAGAACCAGAAGGAATTTTCCCTGCATTGGCAGGTTTCGCCTTCCCCGTAGCATTTCGTCACAAATTTGGCGGTTTTAGGCCATGGCAAGGTATCCTTTAGTCTATCATCAAGCTGGGGGGGGTGCATTCATGCTCCCTCCCCATGCGGGGGCGCTTGCAGGGCCTGTTAAAGGACAAAAAATCGGGAGTCCCTGGCCCTAGAGCAGCGGCATGTAGGTCGAACTCCCGGGCTGAGGTTAGTGGAAGGGCATGCTATGTAAGTTTGTGCTTTGCAGTCCCCTCTCACTGGACCTCATCAGCCTGCATATCCTCAGCCAGACGGGCTGAGAGGGTTACCTGCCAAGGCCTGTGCCAAGTTTCCCACTTCTGAAGCTCAATAAAGTTGTGGCCAATTTGAACCCATACTCTGGTCTCTTGTCTCATTCTTTGGCGGGGAAGGGGTAGGCACCACAGACAGGGTTTAGCACGTGTGCCCGCAAAGATACCCACAACACCCCATATATCACAAACACATCACATGCTGGGAGGGTCTGGTGACAGAAACCTGAGCATCAGGGCTTGCCCTCCAACCTTCCCTTGACCTCCACCATACACCCCTCAAGTGATACAAATGAAATATTTACATGTCCCTGTTTCCCAGCCAAGTTAATCACATCCTTTTGTCTTGATCTGGGTTTGCTATTGTTTCTGGAATGGCTACCTGTCTGGCACTCAGGATTGCCAGAGATTATCACTCAGGCAGAGGGACTGCTGAGTACCTGAGCTCATGCTTTAGGGATTATGGCGGCCCTCACTCATGTCCCAAGCTTTCCCCTTGGTAGCCATTTCCATCGTGTGTTATGTGGTGCTTTGAGGAGACATTGTGTGTGTGAACAAACGGCAACCCCCTCCCCAATCATTATAAAAATTCCTGTAACACCAGGAACAGTCTATTTTATTTAAGTCTAGGATCAAAATCAGGAAATAAAGATCAGAACTAGAATTGGGCTGGGAACCAGGAGAAGAAGGGGCTTGTCTGGTACAAATGAGCTTCAGGGTTTGTTTCTTTTGCCATTCAAACTGTACACATCACATTCCAATGCGGCTGTTCATTTCTGTAGAAAAACCAATTACTTAATTCTATAGCTCTTCATATGTCAGCAACAAGGAAACCACCGTTCTCAAGGCTAGTACATCGCTACCCATATAGTTTAGAATGAGTCGTTTCCAGATCGGATTATGAAGATGATGGAATATGCGTAGATGGCTAGATTACCTGTGAGAATCAAAGAACAGGATGAAGAAAACGTCCATTGAAGGATGGAACTATTTTGTGGAATATTGGGGGGTGGGGATATCGTGGTTATGTTAAAACGTATGCAGGATTTGAGCAGCCAATGAGAATTGGTAGTTCAATCATTTAGAATTAATGTACATAATGGGTAACATATAAGTAGTATAGCGGCTTTATAAGCTAAGAAAAGAACACCCTGGAAGGGTGGATGGGAAGTCAAGGAATATGAGATATATGTTTTGAGGGTTGTTTAAAAGAATTTCCAAAATAAAAGTTAATTTAAAAAATATATTTTTAAAAAAGAATGGGTCCTTTCCAGATTTAAGGCCCATTTGCAAGCTATTTCCCCCAACCAACCCTCCAGCTTGTGTTATCAAACACAGAACCAGATTTGAACACTGGATTTTGGGGCAACGGGATCTACATAGGAAATGAGAGAAGCGGATGTGGCTTAAAAGCACTTCTAAAGAGGTTTCTGTTTGAAATGCAGTAAATTTGCAATAATCAATCCTTCTAGCAGTCCCGAAGGTGTTTTTCAAATGCCTTCTTTATTATTTTGAATAAATAAATATTAATAAATAGCTCCATCCAATGGCATTTCTTCTCCTTGCCCATTTGATATCAGATCAAAAGCAAACTGCATCTCCATTTCCCAGTGAGTTTTATTTGATAAATATAAATCATCTTTGCATTTAACGTACAGTTGCTGGGGAGACTTAACAGGCTTATCAATCTCTCTTGCACTCTGAAATAAGTTCAGGAAAGCCAGCTGCTCCCAAATTTCAAAGAGCAGGAAGTGAAGGCAGTAGCCTACATAGATCAGGGTTAGGACCAGGGTCCACTATTCCACAGAGTCATAGAATCATGGAATTGTAGAGTTCGAAGAGACCCCAAGGATCATCTAGTCCAGCCCCCTGAAATACAGGAATCCTGCTCACAGTCATCCCTGGGTGGGCTCGAACCACCAACCTTTTGGTTAACAGCCAGATGCACCAACCCACTGTGCCACGCTTGGAAGGACTAGGCAACAGACAAGTCATTCCCAAAGGCAGCAAGCAAGTACGGGTTAGAGAGCTCTAATGTGCTCAATGACACATATGAGACACATAAAAGGTAAAGGGACCCCTGACCATTAGGTCCAGTCGTAGCAGACTCTGGGGTTGCGGTGCTCATCTCGCTTTATTGGCCGAGGGAGCCGGCGTACAGCTTCCGGGTCATGTGGCCAGCATGACTAAGCCGCTTCTGGCGAGCCAGAGCAGCACACGGAAACGCCGTTTACCTTCCCGCCGGAGCGGTACCTATTTATCTACTTGCACTTTGACGTGCTTTTGAACTGCTAGGTTAGCAGGAGCTGGGATGGAGCAACAGGAGCTCACCCCATCACGGGGATTCAAACCGCTGACCTTCTGATCAGCAAGTCCTAAGCTTTGTGGTTTAACCCACAGCACCACCCGTGTCCCTATGAGACACATAAGGCGTGGAATTATTACGTCTGTTGGTTATAGTCCAATGGGGCGGGGGGGGCAGCTAAGAATCCTTGTGTAGGCCAACAGCTATTTCAGTAGAAATAGGGAGATAATATACACAAGGCTCGAAGGAGTAGTCAGTCTGCTCTCCTTTTTGCAGCTACAAAGTCTCTCCGTTCGTATTAAACCAAACAAGCCTCCTCTGCCCACGGTTTGATGCATAACTGCATCCAGCCCATCAAACTGTAATGGAATCACAGACTGCAATGCTGAAAAGCAGGGCTCTGCTTCCAATAAGGTGTTTGCTGCTGCGCGGCTGCCTCCACCGCTTTGTCGTTTATTGAGGAGTCGGGAGTCGGGTGATGCGAAAGCTTTTGTCATTTGCAGCCCCGTAGATACAGCTCAGATCCCAAGAGCCTCGCCTCTCAGAGCAGAATCCAGAGTGGGAGAGGCATAACTGAGTGAGGGTCAGTTCATGAAGTCAATTGGTGTTGACTGGAGACAAATAATAATAATAATAGAAGGCTCCCTGAGCTCCCCGGTTTGGCATCTCTTCCTTAAAAAGATAAAGAAAAGCTACAAGAGGACAGACGACAAGTTTGGCAGTCCCATGTACTGTTTTTGCTGCAGATAAACCTACTGCTTAGGTAAAGGTAAAGGGACCCCTGACCATTAGGTCCAGTCGTGGCCGACTCTGGGGTTGCGGTGCTCATCTCACTTTATTGGCCGAGGGAGCCGGCGTACAGCTTCCGGGTCATGTGGCCAGCATGACTAAGCCGCTCTGGCGAACCAGAGCAGCGCACGGAAACGCTGTTTACCTTCCCGCCGGAGCGGTACCTATTTATCTACTTGCACTTTAACGTGCTTTCGAACTGCTAGGTTGGCAGGAGCAGGGACGGAGCAATGGGAGCTCACCCCATTGCGGGGATTCGAACCACCAACCTTCTGATAGGCAAGTTCTAGGCTCCGTGGTTTAACCCACAGCGCCACCCGCATCCCTAAACCTACTGCTTACACACACTTTAAAGCCAGAAGCCTCTTTTCCTAAGGAACTCAATATAAAATCGCAACATAAATTTGCAGTCGTGTGACTGACAACTTATAACAGAGGTTCAGTGTGGGTGTGTTAGAGAGTCCAGCAACCCTCTCCTTTCTTTCCTACTTGAGAGTAGAGTTCAAACCAATAAATGGGTTATTCTACCCTATATTGTACACTTTTATCTTTTTTATGGGGGCAGGGAATGACTCTGTAAATTCCCTTTAGCCAGATTATAAAAGACTGGCACACAATCTTTGCTGGTACTCCCGCATATATATATTTTTGGTATTGAGGCGCAGGGATGCAGGAACTCAACAAGCACCTTTTCTGCAGAAAGGAAAACCTGCTGCTAATAAATCAATAGTGCTGTGTTAAGCAACAGTGTCAATGCATTTTTCATTCTTATTTTTTAAACGGGTAAACACAGCCAAAACACTAAAAGCAGTAGCGGGGGGAGGGGGGGAGCAGCGAAAGCGGAAACTCAGTATGTGTCGTGTGCGGAACACATGCATCAAAGAGACACCCTGGTGACAGAGACAAAAATGAGATGCTTAACTGCTGTGTAATAGGCAAAGAGCTTATGCAGAATACAGCCCGGGTTTTACAAGCTGCTATGAATCTATGAAAGATTTCAAGGGGAAAACCTTCAAAATGGTCAATGAACATGGTCTTATGGTTTGCAAAAGAGAGCCAACAAGCATTTTCCATTGTATGTCAGAGTCTGGCACTCATTGATTATACAGTGGTACCTCGGGTTACATACGCTTCAGGTTACAGACTCCGCTAACCCAGAAATAGTGCTTCAGGTTAAGAACTTTGCTTCAGGATGAGAACAGAAATCGTGCTCCGGCAGCGTGGCAGCAGCAGGAGGCCCCATTAGCTAAAGTGGTGCTTCAGGTTAAGAACAGTTTCACGTTAAGAACGGACCTCCAGAACGGATTAAGTACTTAACCCAAGGTACCACTGTAGTTTGCAAGTGGCATTTGTTATAAGAATTCTAAGGTCTCAAATATAGAATACATATTCATAAATGCTCACATATCTAAATATATAAACCATGTGTCTAAAATAGTACAGGAGAGAAATCCTGAAGCCATTTTGACTCTCCCAGTGACCTCAAATATTCCTCTGCAGTGTTGTTGTTGTTGTTTAGTCATTTAGTTGTGTCCAACTCTTCATGACCCCATGGACCAGAGCACACCAGGCACTCCTGTCTTACACTGCCTCCCGCAGTTTGGTAAAACTCACGTTGGTAGCTTCGAGAACAGTGTCCAACCATCTCTGTTGTCCCCTTCTCCTTGTGCCCTCCATCTTTCCCAACATCAGGGTCTTTTCCAGGAGTCTTCTCTTCTCATGAGGTGGCCAAAGTATTGGAGCCTCAGCTTCAGGATCTGTCCTTCCAGTGAGCACTTAGGGCTGATTTCCTTAAGAATGGATAGGTTTGATCTTCTTGCAGTCCATGGGACTCTCAAGAGTCTCCTCCAGCACCGTAATTCAAAAGCTGGAGGAGACTCTTGAGAGTCCCATGGACTGCAAGAAGATCAAACCTATCCATTCTTAAGGAAATCAGCCCTGAGTGCTCACTGGGAGGCAAATGGGGAAAGCCTTCCCATTGTCTTTTCACTTACTAATGCTGTCTTAAGGGCGTATTTGTGTATGAACAGGGTGAACCTGTGGCTTAGATTCAGGAACTAAACTATTAACCATCACAAGAGACTGGCCAGGCTGCCCAGGTAACGCAATCAGAGAACACTCATTATCAGGTAGACAGGATTTCTGCTGTAGACTATGATGTATGTATGATGATTTTGGGGTGGTCTTTGGCTAAGGGGGTTGGGCAATGTCAAAAGTCTTTAAAGGTTCCTGCGCACTTTTGTTCAGGGTCTCTCCCTCCTTGGAAAGAGGGGAGGGAACTCTGTTGAAACAGAAAAATAAATATCTGTTTTGCTTTCCACTGGATCCTGCCTCCATCCATTCTTCTCTGACTGAACATGGACTTAGTGGGGAGTTGGGCAGCAAAAGGCAAACCCCAATTTTTACATTACATAACACAAGCAATGTAAATTCTTTAAAACTCTACCTTGAACTGTCCTGATTTACCTTTCAAGTTATTACATGGATTCTTCTATTATTGGTAGTATTGACAGGGCACTGGAGGGAACAAACAATAACAGACGCTGATCAATAACAGATGCTGAACAAACAATAACAGATGCGGTTGGAGGATGGATGGCGGCTAACAGATTGAGCTTGAATCCTGACAAGACAGAAGTACTGTTTTTGGGGGAGAGGAGGTGGGCAGGTGTGGAGGATTCCCTGGTCCTGAATGGGGTAACTGTGCCCCTGAAGGACCAGGTGCGCAGCCTGGGAGTCATTTTGGACTCACAGCTGTCCATGGAGGCACAGGTCAAATCTGTGTCCAGGGCAGCTGTTTACCAGCTCCATCTGGTACGTAGGCTGAGACCCTATCTGCCTGCGGACTGCCTCGCCAGAGTGGTGCATGCTCTGGTTATCTCCCACTTGGACTACTGCAATGTGCTCTACGTGGGGCTACCTTTGAAGGTGACCCAGAAACTAAAACTAATCCAGAATGTGGCAGCTAGACTGGTGACTGGGAGTGGCCGCCGAGACCATATAACACCGGTCTTGAAAGACCTACATTGGCTCCCAGTACGTTTCCGAGCACAATTCAGTGTTGGTGCTGACCTTTAAAGCCCTAAACGGCCTCGGTCCAATATATCTGAAGGAGCGTCTCCACCCCCATTGTTCTTCCCGGGCACTGAGGTCCAGCACCAAGGGCCTTCTGGCGGTTCCCTCACTGCGAGAAGCCAAGCTACAAGGAACCAGGCAGAGGGCCTTCTCGGTAGTGGCACCCACCCTGTGGAACGCCCTCCCACCAGATGTCAAAGAGAACAACAACTACCAGACTTTTAGAAGACATCTGAAGGCAGCCCTGTTTAGGGAAGCTTTTAATGTTTGATGTATTACAGTATTTTAATATTTTTTTGGAAGCCACCCAGAGTGGCTGGGGAAGCCCAGCCAGATGGGCGGGGTATAAATAATAAATTATGATGATGATGATGATGATGATCAAGTTTGACCACTATGTAACATAAATGGGGTTACCATTGACCACATTTTAGAGGCAATTCACAGTACGGATCACATAGTTTCCCAAATGCAACGGGGCTGTCTGCTATAAGTAATTCCCATATGCTTTTAACTTCCAGGAGGCACTGGTTTACTACCTTTGAATAGCTATGGCGATTAAATGATCTTCAAAATCACTTGGTACTAATATACTCTATTGCAATCTTTTAACACCAAGCACTGTCTAATGGCTCCCTATGTACACATCTAACCTGCACAAGCAGGAGGCATGCAGAAATTTACTATCCACAACACCAGCAGGTTACAAAACAAGGATGCAAAAATCCACAATGTGGCTCAAACCTCTCTAAGCAGCATATGTATTTCTCCTGCATAATGATACTCCTTTTCCAGGAACTGTTAAGCATATACCGTATTTTTCGCTCTATAGCACGCCCCCGACCATAACACGCACATAGTTTTTAGAGGAGGAAAATCCATAGGCATGCCACCCGTAGGCATTTCCTCCATAACACGCACAGACATTTCCCACTTTCTAGGAGGAAAAAAGTGAGTGTTATGGTGCAAAAAATACGGTAATCTAAATATGATCGCAATGTCCTCAATGCAAATAGCATGAAAGCATTGTGCATTGCCTTCTTGATCTTCGCTGTCAAAAACTGCTTTCTAAAAAGTTAAAAGAAACCGCAATCCCCAAATAACAATCTACTTATCAATACAATTACCTAAAATCAAAGGAACACAACAAGCAACTAGTCACTATTCTCCAATTCTGAATCCACTAAATTCTGGAAATGCTGACTTAATCACCAATTGAATAGTGACTGTTCTTATCTCTCACACACAGATGTCCTCTTCTGTTTCTGTAGGCACAGATAGCGGATTGATTGCATAGATTGAACTAAACGAGTAGACAAGATTTTATTTGGCTCTGGCTTAGTTTTTGTGGCACGTACAGTTTAAAAACCAACTATAGCTTAATGTGAATGAGCTGTGTGCTTGTGCAGGCTGCTCAAAAATTCCTACAGGACATCTCCCTAGCTCCTGCTGCACCACAGACAAAATAAGCCAGTGTCTGGCTTGTCATGTCATCCAAAACTCAGGGCTTACTAGAGGTTTGCTTGGAGAGAAGCAAGCCCCAAACCCAGCTTAGCTTTAAACTACAGTTAATGTGGCGTGCAAACCAGAACATACCTGTCTTCTTTTTGGTACAGTGTAGCAAACTATGGGTTCAGACAAACCCAAACTAAGGCAAATGTGAGCTCTGAACAAGGTCTCTGGGTGTTTTGCTGCTCCTCAACCATATCAATCACCTCAGAGCAATCCAGCTTTCAGAGGTATTAAGTTGCCTTCTACAATCTAGACTGGCTGTCTTCTCTGATGCTCAGAATGTGGTGTTTCCTCTAAAAGTGACGTTGCTAATAACCTCTTTTTATATGCATAGCCCATATTCATCCCTTTTAGGAATCACACTTTCAGGAAATTATCAAAAAGCTATTTTCTATTCCCAATTCATGCAGTTTAAATGGAAATTATTTGAGGTCAAAGTTCTAACTCATTTATGAGTATCTCACTATATGGCAACTATAAACCATATTTAAATAATAAATTATTTAAATAATATTTATTTATTTATTTAATAATATTTAAATAATAGCTCCCCCTCAGGAAATAAAAACTGCGTCCATACAACAAAACAAATGGGTTTTTGTAAACTCTGTGTGTGCTGGGGTGGGAAGTTACAAGTTTGTCATGTGTGTGTTGTAAGCTGCACCTCCTCCCAACCTGTTGATACAATACAAAATTTAATACAAATTTAGGCAGATTGACTTTTTAAAACAATATGGATTAGTAGCTTTTGCATAATTATTTGTAATCCTGCAGTTAAGCATGTTTAAATGCATTGTTTCTGATAGGCATTGTTTTTGATGGGCTTTAAAACAATCTTGCTGGATTTGAGAACTCCAGAATTATCAAAAATTCCTCATTATGGGCTCCTCATTTTTAGAAAGCTACTTTTTCCCCAACCCAAGTTCTTAATGCTTTTTAAAGTAACTTTCTTGGTTGCTGGCATTCCACATGCAAGTTCCTTTCTCTTGCTGCAGAGGTGGGCTGATGGAAAGCTCCTGCTCCCATTTGCATGGCAATAAAGTATCTTTAGAGGTGTCATTGAGAATCATTAGTTCTGCAAAAGAATGAGCAACAGCCTCAGGGTAATATACTGTAGTACGAAATGGGCTATTGGTGCAGCCCCAGAGCCACTGCAGTGTGTTTTTGCATGGAAACAGCAGGCTGTCTAAGTGAGAGGTGGTTTTAGTTGGTTTGTTTAATTGGAGGCATTCAGAACAAAACATGGGTCGTTTGAAAGAGTCTACTAGAACTCACAAGAACTTGTCTTCCTGTCTGCAGAGTTAACAGTCCCCAGAAACACTCACCCCCACCAGCACCCACTTCCTCTGTGTAAAAATTTCCTCTAAAGGTAAAGGTAAAGGGACCCCTGACCATTAGGTCCAGTCGTGGCCGACTCTGGGGTTGCTGTGTTCATCTCACTTTTTTGGCCGAGGGAGCTGGCGTACAGCTTCTGGGTCATGTGGCCAGCATGACTAAGCCGCTTCTGGCAAACCAGAGCAGTGCACAGAAACGCCGGTTACCTTCCCGCTGGAGCGGTACCTATTTATCTACTTGCACTTTGACATGCTTTTGAACTGCTAGGTTGGCAGGAGCTGGGACCAAACAACGGGAGCTCACCCCGTCGCAAGGATTCGAACCACCGTCCTTCTGAGTCCTAGGCTCTGTGGTTTAACCCACAGCGCCACCCGCGTCCCCTACCTCTTGTAATAACAGTCTCTTTTAAAAAGGCTGCATTTCTATGATTTATCATAACAAAATTGGGGAGGGGGGCATAGAGACAGTATTGTCAAGTAACATAGACTTCAGGATCATAAAGTATCTAGGTTCAGCTTCTACTAAGCCGAAATAGAAAAATTGACATGCACCCCCTCAAAAACCAAATAAATTTCTAAGGCAGGCATGTCCAAGGTCCATTTTGGGGGCCTTTGGCAGTTTATTCCCTGGGGTAAAATCCTAAAAAAACCTCAACAACTTCAATCCCCCAAAAAAGCTTAACAATTTCAATCCCCCAAACAGCTCAACAATTTTGGGGTAAAATCCTAAAAAAAGGTCAATAACTTCAATCATCAACTTTGGTCGGCCCTCACAGCCCTTCACTTCATCAAATCTGGCCCTCTTTGGAAAAAGTTTGGACACCACTGCTAAGGGGCTGAGGGTGTGGGTGTGATTGTGCAAGTTTAGCATGTAAAAGGCTTCAGTAAAGAAGACTTAGGGGTCTGGAAGAAAGAGAAAGAGACAATCCATTCAAAAAGCTTTGTGGATGAGGTGCAAAATTTCGCATGTATACACAAAAGGCACAGGACCATATCCAACACTGCAGTTCCAGTAAAGAAGACTTGTAGCATGTAGCAGATATTTTTCCTCCTCCTTCACCTCTAGCCTACCCCCCCATCATCCTCAAAATCACAGCAGATTTTTTGGTGGGGGGAGAGAGAAAAGGAAGCCTCATTGCGCCAGGAGAACTATGGTTTGTATCTGATGGGCAGCATTTGATACAACCCATAGTGAAGTAGCCTGAGGTATGGGTTGTGCCTCCATATAGTGGCTGCTTATTAGTAGCAAATCAGATGGAAAAACTGCCCATCGTTTGCATATTTGACATCAGGAATCTGAAGCAGGATTGGGAAGACATTTAATTGTTTTATTGTATTAACGCATATTTGGAAGCATCCTTTCATAAGATACCAGTCTTAGCCGCAAGCTTTTATTTCTAGAGGATATTGTAGGAAGACCACTGCAGTGAAGAGCTGCAGCCTATTTGGCCCAATGTACTGTCATGGCGCAGGTGGCGCTGTGGGTTAAACCACAGAGCCTAGGACTTGCCGATCAGAAGGTTGGCAGTTCGAATCCCCGCGACGGGGTGAGCTCCCATTGCTCGACCCCTGCTCCTGCCAACCTAGCAGTTCGAAAGCACCTCAAAGTGAAAGTAGATAAATAGGTCTGGCAGGAAGGTAAACGGCATTTCCATGCACTGCTCTGGTTCACCAGAAGCGGCTTCGTCATGCTGGCCACATGACCCAGAAGCTGTACGCCGGCTCCCTCGGCCAATAAAGCAAGATGAGCGCCGCAACCCCAGAGTTGGTCACGACTGGACCTAATGGTCAGAGGTCCCTTTACCTTTACTGTCGAAGGAGCATCTAAAGTGGAAGCAGTGCAGAAACGTTTTTGGGCTAAAAGCATCAGGCTATACCAAGATGTGCTACCTCCCTTATTATTGCATTCTCTCCAGATCTCCTATTTATACTGTACAATCAATGAGCACATCTAAGTTACATGTTACAACCTAATTTCTGGCAAATGAGAAGTCACAGAAAAGATAGTAAAAATGTTTGTATGGATTTCTAGTCTCCGTTACCAAGAACAAGTGAGACAGGAATCATCATCAGAGGATCTGTTACCCTCTTGCATCGTCCTGTCCTAGCCAATTTGAAAAAAGGTGATCTGCAGTCTCTTGGGAGTATTTCAGATACCGTACAAGTTACAGCATCTTTTGACAACTGTGTTTGGCTTTTGCCCCAGACGTATCTTGCCAGCTTGCAGGGAAAGTAACGATATGCATTTGATGCGTGCTCCACTAACAAATTGCTTACTGAAAGATAAAGGGGAAAGATAAAGGGGATACTCAACATAGTGTTAAGAGACCAGGTTATTTGGTAGTTCAGATGACGTCTTCCAGAAAGTTTATATGATTTGGAATACCAAAGAATGTGGTCCTAGGACTGTTATGCTAAATCCCAGAGATATTACTAGTGATTTTGGCTATATTCCCATGCTAATGTTAAAGAGTTACTTAGCCCACAAATGGCAAACCTCAGAGTTCTCATGGTCTGTTCTATTCTCCAGGCAGAGATCCAAGGGCCAGGTATATTTGCAGCACTAACTGAACTCCTTGTGAAGTCAGGCTCCGTAATTAAGCTGGGTCAATTTTTCATCATGGTTCATACAAAATCTCAAGGCGAAACGCAACATTAAAGTACAGACTTTGCCACAATTTGAATGTTCTTTGCCAGTAAAATTATTAGCAATCAGTATACCATACCTTGATTAAAGTTTGATAAGATCACCAGCCGCCAAGTGAAATCACTTTAGGTGGCCTCATTTGACCATCTCTTCCTTGGATAATCAGTTATGTTAGGCAGAATGCCGTGAGCTTGGGGAGGGTGCAACTCTTGCTCTTTGGGAATTCAATGCGGGATTAGCCGAAAAATCTGCTTACCACCTTCTCTCCAAGGTTTGCTTCTATATTTCATAGAATCGTAGCATTGCAGAGTTGGAAGGGACCACAATGGTCAATTAGTCCAACCCCCTGCAATGCAGGAATCTTTTGCCCAATGTGGGACTCGAACCCACAACCCTAAGATGAAGAGTTTCATGCTTTACCGAGTGAGCTACCAAACAGATATTACAAAAGGCATGCAGAGTCTCCCATGCTTTCTCAGTGCAAGGAAATAAATACTGTGAAGAGCCACTGCCCCACTTATAACTTGTTTTGATTTACAGAAGGTAAAGCTCTATTTGTGGGATACAATATTGGTCAACACTAGAAAGGGCAACCATTTGGAGGAGCCATTAGCCTTCGATTTAAGAAGTTCTATGTTTCCTCTCTCTTGACAGAGCTTTCACAAAATCACATTCAGCCTACCCATCGCCTACCGTAACAAGTAGATAGAGAGATGTGAACGGTCCTCTGTATTTTTCACCTCCAGTCATTTTTCATTCGTTCAAATGTATAGATGGCCAATCAAGGATCTTCTATTATAGGCTCACAACATTCAATTAGGTACAAGGACCATATATTGGATAGTTACAATGAAAGCAATGAATACCACCATATACCAGGGTTTCCCAAACTTGAAGCTGTTTTTTGGACTACAATGCCCATCATCCATGAACACTGGTCCTGCTAGCTAAGGATGATGGGAGTTGTAGTCCCCCAAAAAAGAAAAGAAAAAAAGCTGGAGACCCAAGTTTGGGAGACCATGACACAGACAGAGACAAGATATCCATGAAGAGCGGCAAGTGGATTTAATCCTAACCATTCTCCTTATATTCCAAGGCTGTTTACCTTTCTCAAAACAGAGTTTTACAATGCAAGTCCTGCTAAAGTGCTGTTCCCTGTAACCATCCCTTTTTACTACAAAAGGAGCAAGTTTCCTGAGCAAGGTCTCCCACATAGCCTCAGGAACTGAGGTGGCTCAAACAGAAAACCTTTCAACACCAGAAGAGTCTGATGATTCTTTTCTCTTTTTTAACCCATTGTGCTGTAAAGCTCTTCTTGAAACTTAAAAGTCCCACCCGCACTATCCATGAGGGGAATAGAGGTCTCAGCGCCGCCTTTAACAAACTACATTTTCCAGGATTCTTGGGGAGGGGGTAAACCATGACTGTTTAAAGTGGTGTGATGATGCTTTAAATCAGGCATAGGCAACCTTCGGCCCTCCAGATGTTTTGGACTACAATTCCCATCATCCCTGCCCACTGGTCCTGTTAGCTAAGGATCATGGGAGTTGTAGTCCCAAAACATTTGGAGGGCCGAGTTTGCCTATGCCTACTTTAAATGTATAAAAGCAGATGGGGCATTAAGTCTCTGGAGCTTTCACTACTGTCTTTTAGCATAAGGAGCAGGGCTTTTTTTCAAGCTGGAACTCTCCAGAACTCGGTTCAGGCACCTCTCAAGGTGGGTGCCATTGCCATTACAGGAGAACATGGTGAGTTCCAGCACCTCTTTTTCTAGAAAAACAGCTCTGATCATGAGTAAATAGAATGTTATTAAAGACATGAAGCATAAAGATGCATGATGCATAGATCCGTTTACTAATACGGAACTCATTTTATTTCTTTAAAGATAAATTGCATACAGTGGTACCTCGGGTTACATATGCTTCAGGTTACATACGCTTCAGGTTACAGACTCCGCTAACCCAGAAGAGCTTTGCTTCAGGATGAGAACAGAAATTGTGCAGCAGTGGCATGGCGGCAGCGGGAGGGCTCATTAGCTAAAGTGGTGTTTCAGGTTAAGAACAGTTTCGGGTTAAGAATGGACCTCTGGAACGAATTATGTACGTAACTGCAAAACCTTTTGTAACTAGACACAGTCTTTTAATGAGTATCGTGAATGCAAAACTTCCATTAATGAGCTAATCACTGATTAAAATAGCCGCACTTGGATTACAGTAAACTCTCTTCGTTTTGGCAGGGGAAACATACAGTCAGAGAGAAGAGGTCCAGTGCCGTCATGGCCATATCTGTGGCTGACAAACTGTAGTCTCAGTGGGGTCTCAAAAGCCACGCTGTGTCCAAACAAACCCAAGTAGCCGCAGCCGCAGATTTCAAGACCAAGAAGGAATTAAAGGGAAGTTTTCTTTCTGCAGTTCTCTTACTGCACATAACTGCGGCATTATGGGACTATGAGAACTATTGCTTCTTTTCTCTTGCATTCTGGGAAGTCTCGCTCATAATCTTTTCTCTGCTTCTGCACATGAGTCTGAGAATGTTCTGAACAGTTCCCATTGAGTTCATGAAACAGTGTATCCTGACCTGTTCTTAATGCATTGCTGACCACATCTACGGAACGTGATTGTTGTATTCTTTCATGTTATGTTCTTTCAATATCAATCTTTAGTTATAATTTAATTAGGAGGTTTCATGCCTGTCTAGTTCCAGCTCCATTTCTCATCCTTTGATCTATCAGTAATAAATGGTTGTATCTAATTCCCGCCTTGTACCTATGTTAACCAATCAGCAACAAGATGCTTTGTGTTTGTATCAACCAATCAGCCACAAGCACACCTGTGGCAATGTTTGTAATATTCAATAAAAGAGAGTTCCCGGGGCTCGCCCTGGCAGACGCCTCTCATATGACACCTACCACTCGTCTGTCGTGATTTCAACCCAACAAGGCATCGATGCACAATGCTTAGAAGCGTATCATTTGCCTTCGCGTCCTACTAGTTAAAAATAAATTGGCAACGCACCCTGTCACTGGACTGATTTAAATCAAGGCACTTTGGATCAATGAGAAAAGAAGGCCAATTTAGAATCAAGTTTCCCATTGAGACTTCTTCATGTACTTGCTAAACAATGGTGCATGTCTAACCACTAAACAATGACAGTATGTAACTAGAGCATTATTGCCAACAGGGTTTCCCAAACGTTGGTCTCCAGCTGTTTCTGGACTACAATTCCCATAATCCCTAGCTAGAAGGCCCTGATTTACATTAATGTTTCATTCTTACAACCAGGCTGACTGTGCAGCTCCTTCTTGCCTAGAGGGGGAAAAATGTATTTAAAATACAGTCGTACCTTGGATCTCAAACGGCTTAGTTGCTGAACGTTTCGGCTCCCGAATGATCAAAAACTGGAAGCGAGTGTTCCGGTTTTCAAACTTTTTTTTGGAAGTTGAACGTCCAATGTGGCTTCCGCAGCTTCAGGAAGCTCCTGCAGCCAATAGGAAGCTGTGCTTTGGTTTCTGAACGTTTTGGAAGTCAAATGGACTTCCGGAACAGATTCCGTTCAACTTCCAAGGTACGACTGTATGCCCAAATGGGATCTCTTTTTACAACATGCACCCAGGATAGTTTTATTTATTTACAAATTTTAAATCCCACACCGCCGATAAAGATTTATGTTCCCAGGGTAGCTAACAGAGGTGAACTTTGCACACTTTTGCTGACAGTTTTCTCTCCTTTCCAGTGTTGCTCCTTTCCGGGTCACTCTGCCTTGGCCCAGCACCACCCTTGCAAAAATAAAGCTGCAAACAAAACTGAACTGCTCATGACTGATAGGCAGAAGTAAAGTCTGATAGTTATCGTGCAGACAGGAGCACTTTATTTTCATTAGATGTAAATGAAATTCCTCCGTCGGCAGGTAGAGTGCAAGCATCCCTACCTGCGAAATGATCAAATTCTCCATTGACATCGAAATGTATCTTTTAACTCCATGCATCTTGTAGGCATTGTCTTGATTTAGAAATTAGCTGCAGGGCTAATAGGATTATACCCATATTATTTAATATTAATTTAGTTAAGTCAATACAGAATCATAGATCGCAGAACTGTAGAGTTGAAAGGGAACATGAGGGTCATCTAGTCCAATGCAGGAATCTTTTTGACCAACGTGAGGCTCAAACCCACGACCCTGAGATTAAGAGTCTCCTGCTCTACCAACTGAGCTACCCCAGGGACAGATTTAGTTTCAGGCAGCTGGTGCCAACCTAGCACTCACCTGTACTCCACTCAGCTGCCTCCCACATCCCCCCAAAAAGATGTCTGACTTCTCACTTAAGAGAGAAAGCCTGACTAGCACCATCAGTAACACATCCGCATCCTGTGGCAGAGAAAAGGGAGAGCAATTTCACTGCAAACCACATCAAGGTTATCAACAACCAAGGTGTCACAAGGCAGCGGGAGTTCTGCCACTCACTTTGGGTGCTCTCGGTCGCTCGCTTCGCTAGAGGTTTCGGCACCAACAGCGATGATGCTGTGCTCTGCCATTTGTTAGGAGTGAGCAAGAGGCTCTAAAGTGAGGGATGACTTATACCCCGTTCCTGAACGTTTGCCTGTATCGCAGTAAGGAAGCGTCCTAAATAATAATAATAATAATAATTTATTTATACCCCGCCCATCTGGCTGAGTTTCCCCAGCCACTCTGGGCGGCTCCCAATCGAGTGTTCAAAACAATACAGCATTAAATAATAAAAACTTCCCTAAACAGGGCTGCCTTCAGATGTCTTTTAAAGATAGGAAAGCTGCTTATTTCCTTCACATCTGAAGGGAGGGCGTTCCACAGGGTGGGAGCCACTACCAAGAAGGCCCTCTGTCTGGTTCCCTGTAACCTCACTTCTCGCAATGAGGGAAAGGCCCTCGGCGCTGGATCTCAGTGTCCAGGCTGAACGATGGGGGTGGAGACGCTCCTTCAGGTATACAGGACCAAGGCCGTTTAGGGCTTTAAAGGTCAGCACCAACACTTTTAACTGTGCTCGGAAACGTACGGGGAGTCAATGCAGATCTCTCAGGACCGGTGTTATGTGGTCCCGGCGGCCACTCCCAGTCACCAGTCTAGCTGCCACATTCTGGATTAATTGCAGTTTCCGGGTCACCTTCAAAGGTTGCCCCACGTAGAGCGCATTGCAGTAGTCCAAGCGAGAGATAACCAGAGCATACACCACTCTGGCGAGGCAGTCCGTGGGCAGGTAGGGTCTTAGCCTACATACCAGATGGAGCTGGTAGACAACCGCCCTGGACACAGAATTAACCTGCGCCTCCATGGACAGCTTTGAGTCCAAAATGACTCCCAGGCTGCACACCTGGTCCTTCAGGGGCACAGTTACCCCATTCAGGACCAGGGAGTCCCCCACACCCACCCGCCCCCTGTCCCCCCAAAACAGTACTTCTGTCTTGTCAGGATTCAACCTCAATCTGTTAGCCGCCATCCTTCCTCCAACCCCCTCTAGGCACTCACAAGCTTGCAACCAAGAACACTGAGGGTCAGCAACCTCTAAATCACAAGCTCTCTTACTTTCCAGATCTTTTGTACCAATCGCTCGTGATTGGTACTGTATGGGCACTTGTAGCTCAAATTCTCCCTCACGGTAACACACAAACCAACAAACAAACAAAATTAACCATTTCCTTTTAAATAGTATACTTTTAGCTACCAGTGAGAGCCAGTGTGGTGTAGTGGTTAAGAGCGGTAGTCTTGTAATCTGGGGAACCGGGTTCGCGTCTCCGCTCCTCCACATGCAGCTGCTGGGTGACCTTGGGCCAGTCACTCTTCTCTGAAGTCTCTCAGCCCCACTCACCTCACAGAGTGTTTGTTGTGGGGGAGGAAGGGAAAGGAGAATGTTAGCCGCTTTGAGACTCCTGAAGGGGAGTGAAAGGCGGGATATCAAATCCAAACCCTTCTTCTTCTTCTTCTTCAGTGACTGAAGGAGCTGTTTCAAGGCATGACATTCAGGTATCATGGACTGGCTGCATGCAGAGGAGTGGTGGAAGGCACCAGCTGGGAGACCCTCAAGGGGAGAAGACTCAGAGCCAAGGGATTGGTGGTGGATGTCAGAGGGAAAAGAGGGAGAAGACTGGGAGGAGGAGATGTCGGAAGCTGAAGTGGTAAAAGAGAGCAGTCCAGAATTGGAGGCAGAAGCAGGTCAAGAGACAGAGTTGAGTCAGGCTGATGAAGAAGTCAGGGTATTTCCCCGTCGTGCTGCGACCAGCTCCCCTCCTCCCTGGTCTCCCAGAACCAGAAGAGCTATGAAGAGGGTGGAGCAAATGCTGTAGAGGCAAAGAAGTCTCAGATTGCTTGGGGAGGAGGAGACTTAGGGAACTGTGGGAAGGCAGGGACCCACAGTCCCCACAACTGCCTCACTGGGGCAAGATCAACAGGAAGATTTGTTGTGCCCATTAGGCCTGGCCTCCTGAGCTGCCTTGTTTCTCTGAATAAAGAGTTAACTTCACTGAAGTTGTGTGAGTTAATGGTGACCTAATCCTGGCACCCGCTCCTGACAGCAGGTAGCATACAAGCTGTATAATCTTTCCCTACTGTTATAGGAAGCAACTGCATAAACACTGGCAAAAAAATGAGCCTGTCAAATGTGCTATCATCAGAGTTAGCCTAACCTAAGTCAAAATAATCCACTCTTTCTTGGCACACCGCCTTCTCCATCTGTCAAACTAGGAAACCGCGGGTTGCCTTCAATTAACTTTTACTCGGGTCAGGCCCTATCAAAATTCACAATGTTAGGTCCATTCATTTCAACGGGCTGACTCTGAGTAAAAGTTGAATACAACCCTGTATTCAAATAACACTTTCCGTGACAACTGTGGTGGTGTGGCACAATCACCCTGCCCCATCAACGGAGGAAACCAGTTGTTGGGTTGCCGCCAAAGGACTCAGGAATCAAAGACACACCAGGCTGAGTCTTCTTCCATCAATAATGATTCAGTTTCACTAGGGCTGAAAAGGACCAAAATAGTCTCTGGACAGGAACACTGGATGCAATAGGGTCTTTAAATTCTAACAACAGGGCAGATAAAGACCAGAAAATTGACAGCAGGAGGTTGCAGCACTAATAGGTTTGGGCATCTGTCACAGTTTCAGTTTAGAGAAAGTTTATTTTTTAAATGGCCCATGCAATGCATTTTCTTGCCGCGTGGAAAATTAAGTATTTGTCGACATTACTAGAAGTAAGAAACTAAAGCCAAATAGTTGCAGGGAGTGTTGGCAACTGGAAGGTAAGATTGGATCTAACGGAACATGTTCCCAAGGACTCTGATTTGGCAGGGTGCTCAGAGCCTTCACCTTGTATAATGTGGAAGAGGAGGCAAAAAAAAAGTTTTGTTTTGTTTGCAACTTCAGAATACCCTGCGGGGGAAAGGAAAATGAGGAAAGTAATTTTGGGCATGCTCCTTCACCTCTTGTTGCATGGGAATAAGTATGCATAATAAGGCACATTAGAACATGCTAAATCAGGGGTGCGAGAGAGAAATCGCCTCCCTGCATAAGGAGACATCACCTTGCCAACAAAGGTCCGCATAGTTAAAGCTTTGGTTTTCCCAGTCGTGACGTATGGAAGTGAGAGCTAGACCATAAAGTAGGCTGATCGCCGAAGAATTGATGCTTTTGAATTATGGTGCTGGAGGATACTCTTGAGAGTCCCATGGACTGCAAGAAGATCAAACCGATCCATTCTGAAGGAAATCAGCCCTGAGTGCTCACTGGAAGGACAGATCGTGAAGCTGAGACTCCAATACTTTGGCCACCTCATGGGAAGAGAAGACTCCCTGGAAAAGACCCTGATGTTGGGAAAGATGGAGGGCACAAGGAGATGGGGACGACAGAGGATGAGATGGTTGGACAGTGTTCTCGAAGCTACCAGCATGAGTTTGACCAAACTGCGGGAGGCAGTGGAAGACAGGAGTGCCTGGCGTGCTCTGGTCCACGGGGTCACGAAGAGTCGGACACAGCCAAACGACTAAACAACAACAAATAATGCTAATGCAGAGCAATGCATCCTCACCTGCGCTTTCCTCTCTATCCGATGCATAGAGCCACTGAAAGAATACGGGATACAAATTAAAAAACGGGCTCTATTAGGCTTCCACTTCCCTCTGCAGTTTTATAATCCTCCCATCCATCAAATTTGAAAGAGTATTAATACTGACACTGGCTGATCCCCACCTCATCTGCTGAGCTAGCCTTTTCTGAAGTTCGCTGCCACAGTCTTTCAGGATCCACGATAGTTTCTGAAGAGTCACGGCTCAGATTTTTATTTGTGATTCTCCAAGGCAGATATAGTCTTCCTCTGCAATGGTATTGTGAGAACAGACGCACAAGACGCAGAGAGCAGGTTGTAAACGAATTCTGATGCTCAGCGGCAAGTGCGGATTTGAATTTTTACTGAGATCAGAGCTTGACTCTCCCGCCACCCGGCCCAAATCACAATTCCTGGAAGTGCGGGCACACCGTCACGTAATAAGGTCAAAGGGAATGTCAGAACTTTTCTATGAAATCATTTGCGCATCAAGAATATTGGAGGAAAGCTGTCTGTGGACAAACGCTGGCTCCCTCGACTTGAAAGCGAGATGAGCGCTGCAACCTCATAGTCGCATTTGACTGGACCTTTACCTTACTCATAAGTAAGTCCTACTAAGGTCAACAGGCTCACCCACCAGTTCACATGGGACTAAAGAAATAAACAACTATAAGACTTTTAGAAGACATCTGAAGGCAGCCCTGTTGAAGGAAGCTTTTAATACAGGATGAATCATTATATATTCTGCTGGAAGCTGCCCAAAGTGGCTGGGGAAACTCAGCCAGATGGGCCAGGTATAAATATATTATTATTATTATTATTATTATTATTATTATTATTATTATTATTAAATGCTAAATCTCTTAATACAGGAGATACCACACACCCCATAAAATCTACACAGGGGGCAACCATTCTGTGTGTGTTCCAAGTGACATGCGACTGCTGACATGTGTGCCGCTTTCGGCTGCAGAAGGGGGCGAGGCAGGGCAGAACGGGCTTATGTGTGACCGCTGACACACGCAAACGACTTGTGTGCAAATAGAGTGTTGCCTGTACATACTTACTCATAAATAAATAAATAGAGATGCGGGTGGTGCTGTGGTCTAAACCACTGAGCCTCTTGGGCTTGCCGATCAGAAGGTTCGACTCCCCACAGTGGGGTGAGCTGTGTCCCAGCTCCTGCCAACCTAACAGTTTGAAAACATACCAGTGCAAGTAGATAAATAGGTACCACTGCGGCGGGAAGGCAAACAGTGTTTCCATGTGCTCTGGCTTCCGTCACGGTGCCCTGTTGCACCAGAAGCGGTTTAGTCCTGCTGGCCACATGATGCGGAAAGTTGTATGTGGACAAACGCTGGCTCCCTCGGCCTGAAAGCGAGATGAGCGCTGCAACCCCATCGTCGCATTTGACTGAACTTAACCATCCAGGGGTCCTTTACCTGACTCATAAATAAGTCCTACTAAGGTCAATAGGTTCACCCACCAGTAAGTTCATACAGGACTGCAGTCTTACATAGTTACTAAAGTGCAATCCAATTAATTCAACGCAACATTCCATTTTAAGTACACACATACCATATTAAGCACACACTTAACTGAATTCCTCTGAAATCAATTGGGCTTACTTTAAGTAGACATATATGTTGTTGTTGTTTAATGTATTTATATCCCACCTTCCAAGCTGGGATTCAAGGAAGCTTATAGTATTTTAAAACATTGTTATAAGATACAAAGGAATAAAAACGAACTGGTAAACAATAGTTAAAATGCATTAGAATACATTTAAAGCCAGCATTAATGTACCAACTGCCCTGGCAGCGACTCAGCAGTCAGCCTCATCAGCCGCTAAAGGCCTGTCTGAATAGCCTGCACACAGAAACACAACAACGACAATATGGTTGCAATGTACTATATAGAACTGCACTGTAGTCCTAGCTGAAATGAACTTAGGCTCTGTGCTGTTGGTTTTGCTGGGGCATAAGCTTGTCAATGTTTTAATAATGTGATTCTGTAGGTTTGCTGTGATCCTCACATTTTATACCGCAAACCATGGACAGTTCTTGATGGACGGGTACTTGACTTACTTTAACTGTTACTGTGTAGAGTTTTAGAACGGAACCTTTAATTCGGTGATCAACTAAAGCTTTCTTTGTTTAATTAAGGAGGGCTGAGTGTTAAAGAGCCCACTTGCGTATTTTATGATGCTATGTGAGTTCTCGTGAATTACTCTAATGTGGAATGTAAAGGATTATTATTATTATCATTATATTTTTGTCCATGTAACAATTACGGGTGGCTTTTGCTTAATACGTTCTAAGTTTCCACACTCCCCTTCTGCATCAAAGAGCCACCTACAAAAAAAATGCTTCAGCAATATGCAAATCCATTTAATCAGGTAATTTATCGCTAATCAACCGAGGAAATTGAGACAGATGATTTAAATAAGCTTTGGCTTATTACTGTGGTATTGTCCTTAGAAAATTACAGCATGCCTAAAGCTATCCCTTCAGCATACTTCGGACCATGTTATTACGGTGTTTTGTTTTTAACCAAGGTCATCGCAGCAGCAGACAGGAGATTTCCAAAGGGCTCAAACTTTGTCAAACTAAGAGTGCAATCCTATATGTTTCCACTTAGAAGCAAGTCTCCTTGGGTTCAAGAGGACTTAGGTAAGCTGGTATAAGATTTCAGCCTAAACATCTTCTTTCTTTGGGGGGGTGTCGATCACCAAAGCCCCAGCATTAGATTTTGGCACCAGTCTGTGTTTACACACCAGTGTCTTCTGCAGAGATCTTTATAGCAGCAGACTGTGTTTACACCCCACTTCCCTACAGGGAGTTCTTACAATAGCTATCAGCAACTGGAAGCCTCTGGGATAACACCCATCCCCAGAGAGTCACCAGGTGACTTTCCACAGGTGACTTGCCAGCCTTAGGAAGCACCATAACAACAGCACCAAGCAGATGGAAGGCCTGGCGGACTTTTCCCCAAGGAATCCTTGCCCCTTCCCCTTCTAGCCCAGGGATAAGGCTTTAACCAATCTGAATTGTATGTGGACTCCTTAGACTGCAGGAAGACTAGAGCTAATTAATAATAATAATAATAATAATAATAATAATAATAATAAATTATTTATACCCCGCCCTCCCTGGCCAGAGCCGGGCTCAGGGCAGCTAACAGCAGTAAAATTACAGTAAAAATATAATGGGGGGGGGACCAATTTAAAATACATGTTAAAATGCAGCCTCATTTTAAAAGTAGCCCATAGATCAAAACCGTAAGGGGAGGGAAACATAAGGGTCAGACTGAGTCCAAACCAAAGGCCAGGCGGAACAGCTCTGTCTTGCAGGCCCTGCGGAAAGATGTCAAGTCCCGCAGGGCCCTAGTCTCTTGGGACAGAGCGTTCCACCAAGTCGGGGCCAGTACTGAAAAGGCCCTGGCCCTAGTTGAGACCAATCTAACCACCTTGCAACCTGGGACCTCCAAAACCTTAAGGTCCTCCGCGGGGCATACCAGGAGGTCCCATGGTTCTCTCGCTTTTTTCTCCTGGCCACACTTTCCGAATAAAAATTCGCTCATGCTCCACCAACTTTTTTTATTGATAAGAAATGGGTGAGAAAACAAAAAAGAAGCAACTGGCAGTGCTTGTTTTATAACACAGAATACAACTAGGATATGACAACTAGGCATCCAGAAGGTATAAAACAATGTCACTACATAACAACATGAAGCATTCCCCAAATATAATACTGGTTGTCCTTGAATCTTCCTCCCACATTTGCCATTCTTTCCTGCCACACCCTTTGAGGACCACTAACCTAGTCAACCATAAAGACCTAGTCAACCATAAACCTAGCTGGACCATAAAGAAGGCTGATTACCGCCTTTCTCCTGGGCATAGTCGGCCAAATGGTGTTAAAAAAGGATAGAACTTTCTTTATGTATGCAACAACAGCAGCAAGAATACTTATCGCAAAGTATTGGAAGACACAAGAACTTCCCACGCTGGAGGAATGGCAGATGAAACTTATGGACTATATGGAACTGGCGGAAATGACTGGTAGAATCCGTGACCAGGGAGAAGAGTCGGTGGAGGAAGATTGGAAGAAATTCAAAGACTATCTTCAGAAACATTGCAAAATTAAAGAATGTTAGAGTGATGTTGGACTGAAAATAAGTGGTTTCCATCTGTACAGGTTAAAGTTAATGATAGACTAAGATTAAAGATTAGGATTAAAGATGTTTAAAGAAATGGAAATTTGATAATTAAGAGGAAAAATTTTAATGTTATATTATATTAAGACTAAAGATCAGGTTTAAAGAAGTTGAAGTTATATATTTCAATATTATATTAAAGTTAAAGATTGGGATTAAAAAAGTGGAAAAGAAATTGCTGGACAAACAATTTGGATTGGAATACAAAAGAGGGAGGTATGAGGAAGTCCAGAAAATAAGTAAACTAAAATACGGAAATGGAAAAGAGATATTGTTTTTAATTGTTATGTTTTTCGTTTTTTTTATTGTTGAATATTGTTTTTCTTTTTGTGTTTTTGTTATGTTTTTCTTTTCTTTCTTTGTTGTTCAAAACTTTAATAAAAATTATTAAAAAAAAAAAAAACATAAAGAAGGCTGATCACCGAAGAATTGATGCTTTTGAATTATGGTGCTGGAGGAGACTCTTGAGAGTCCCATGGACTGCAAGAAGATCAAACCTATCCATTCTGAAGGAAATCAGCCCTGAGTGCTCACTGGAAGGACAGATCGTGAAGCTGAGACTCCAATACTTTGGCCACCTCATGAGAAGAGAAGACTCCCTGGAAAAGACCCTGATGTTGGGAAAGATTGAGGGCACAAGGAGAAGGGGACGACAGAGGACTAGATGGTTGGACAGTGTGCTCGAAGCTACCAGCATGAGTTTGACCAAACTGCAGGAGGCAGTGGAAGACAGGAGTGCCTGGCGTGCTCTGGTCCATGGGGTCACGAAGAGTCAGACACGACTAAACAACAACAACAAAACCTAGTCAAAGAGATTAAGCTTTCATTACATTTACTGAATTGAGAGTTTCGTCTTATGCGATGTCTTGCAACAAATTGTTCCCCTACACACACACACATACACAAAAATGTTGTGTATTTTGATGGTGCTTGTTGTGAGTTCAGGAAGGGCCTCAGCTCAGTGGTCAAGCATCTGCTTTGCGTGCAAGAGAAGTGAAATTCAGTAGGCTACTTCCTGCTTCCAAGATGGGAGAGGCCTAGTGGCTGGGATCTCCTCAGTTGTCCTGCCGCTGTGCTGAGCTAAACCATGGTTTGGCTTGTTTAGTTGCCCAAACCAAGGCTCGTGGCAGTTCAGACAGCGCACTAAGCTAGGCTATGGCTCAACTCAGCAAAGCAGCAGAATGACAGGGGAAGAGAAAAATCAGATTGCCTTTCTCAGAGCCCACACTTCCATGCTAAACAACGGTTTGGCTTAAGTGTGCTGTGATCCTCATACAGGATCTGTATGAGGTTCACTTCCAGTGTTCCCTCCAGGCACAGAAAAGCAACATGGAAGTGTGACGTTAACATATGAGAGTGCTGGAGGTGAAATAGTTAAACGGATTACCCAATCAGAACCCAGGGGGTGGAGTCAGAGGGACTATAAAACCAGCTCTGGGAGGGGCGAAGGGGGAGTTTGTTGGGAGTTGGGTGGTTGGTTGGAGTGGGAGTGAATTGGGATAGAGTCTGTGGGTAGGTTGAGTTAGTGTAGTGAAATAAGTTGAGTCAGGAACAGTTAGGAGCTAGGAAGACAAGTAAATATCTGAGAGGTGGTTGAGTGAGTGAGTGAGTCAGGTAGTGGAAGTTATAGGTCTGGATAGGCACCCCATGACTGTAATGGACTGATACCGTTTATGAAACCACACGCTTGTTAAACTGCAATAAATAAACAGAAGTTTATGTTCCAATTTAACCCTGACTGGACTCAGTATTTTACCAGGTAGGGCCTAGGTGGTGGCAGCGAGAAATAAAGTGGTGGCACAGGGATCAATAGACAGTGAAACGTCCGGGGACTCTGGGTGATCACCACAGGAAGTAATCAGTGAAAATCTTAGGTGCTGGTCCACTATCCTCAGAGGGAAACAAGTTGCTGAGCAGGCAGGTACAGAGCCAAGGGGAGTCATGTATCCAACCATGTACTAGGCCTGAGCTAAGGAACCAGTTGCACTTGGGAGTGCATCTCCACGCCACGTGTTTTCGATGTGGGCACCAGTATAAATACAAGAAACATGTCTGCTGCAGTAACATATGAAGCGGTCCTGTCTACATGCAAATGCTAAAGATAATACCATGGCTGGCTGGGGTTAAGGTGGGTATATATGCCAGCTATATCCAGTTGCTCTTAAGTTTTTATTATCTGAAGCTTTCCTCTCTCACCACTGGATAGCTCAGTTGGTTAGAGAATGGTGTTTATGATGCCAGGGTTGCAGGTTCGATTCCCCATATGGGACAACTACATATTCCAGCATTGAGAGGTTGGACCAAAATATCGGATTCTACAATTCTATGGTTCCTAGCTCTCTTGTGCATCTGCAATTCTTTCACTTGTTCCCACCCACCCACCCACCCACCCTCTTTCACTCAAGTGATTAACAGGGACAAAAACTTTGGCAGGAAATTCTACCCTTTAAGTTCCTTGGAAGACTGGGATTCTTGGAGAAGAAAACTTTTTTCAAGTATTGTTTTTGAACAGCAAACAAACATCGGTTATTAACAAAACAATAGGTAGTGCAGCAAATTGGCTGGGATTAAAAGGAAACCAAAGAACTCCCAGTGCTCTGTGATCTACAAAACAATCTCTGTAAATTGTTAAGAGAAGGGAGGGGCAGAGAGAAGAAATTCAGCCTCCCTTAACCCCAAGACCATGTCTATAGCTCAAAGCCTTCCTTAAAATGTATTCCCAAGCATTTCATGAGAAATCTTTCCTGCGGTTGAAAGGTGATTATCTCCCTATAATTATGCCAATCTCCTTATAATTTGTCAGTGAGGAACCGATAAAAATTTAATGACCTTGGAAGAAAAACACCAGCAATAGCAGATTAAATGGTATACTATTAAGGCTCTAAACATATTTTACTTAAAACATACACACACACACACACACCACAGTGAATGTCAATAATAATAGTAACAGGGCACAAAGCGTAGACCTGCTTTGAAAGATGGCAAAGAAAAGGATTTAAAAAAAATACCTTCTTGCCCTGACCCTCCAAAAGCTAAAACAAACATATGAAATAGCTTGAGCCCTATGAAATGGCTGGCAGTATTCATTCCACTGCTGTGCAGTAAATATAACATGTTTTTAAGTCCTGAAAAAGAGGAAGCCAGTGAAGGTAAATTAAGTTATATATAAAAAAAGTTGCAGCAGTGCAACCTTCCAAGCTGCTTCAAGGCAAATGGGTTAAGGACAGGAAAAAAGAAACAAGTCAACTTTCCATCTACGTCCGCCCCAAATTAAGGCAGTGTTCCTCAGCTGAACCTGCGGAAAAGCAGCGGAAAAGCAGCATCACTGACCCTTTTACTTAATTTAAAGGGGTGGCAGCAACAGCAGCCCCTCTCCAGTCCCATTATCTTGGGGGCAGGGATAGGAGTGGTGGTCTTCTTCGGACTATACACTGGCCTACTAAACAGATTGGGTGAATTGAGCCAGTGTGGTGTAGTGGTTAAGAGCGGTAGTCTCGTAATCTGGTGAACCGGGTTCGCTTTCCTGCTCCTCCACATGCAGCTGCTGGGTGACCTTGGGCTAGTCACACTTCTCTGAAGTCTCTCAGCCTCACTCACCTCACAGAGTGTTTGTTGTGGGGGAGGAAGGGAAAGGAGAATGTTAGCCGCTTTGAGACTCCTTCGGGTAGTGATAAAGCGGAATATCAAATCCAAATCCAAACTTGTTCTACCTTCCACACCACAACAGGAATCTTCAACCTCCCTGCACAAACTGGAACAGGACCAGACTTCCGTGTGTCAAGCCAGTCCGGCACAACATTTTTCTGTCACACTGCAGCAACCATCACACCAGACCCAAGGCTAGAAGTTGATATTGCTAAATAATTATTTGACTCCCTGATATCAAGGGGAGCGTGGAAGAGGGGGACAAGCTTGTATTCTCCTGCTCTGGAGGGAAGGATTTGAACCAATGGCTTCAAGTTACAAGAAAGGAGTTTCTGACTAAACATCAGGAACAACTTTCTTGCAGTAAGAGCTGTTCGACAATGGAATAAACAGTGGAGAGGTTGTGGACTCTCCTTCCTTGGAGGCTTTTAAGCAAGAGGTTGGGTGGCCATCTGTCATGGATGCTTTAGCTGAGATTCCTGCATTGCAGGGGGGGTTGGACTAGATGACCCTCAAGGTCCCTTCCAACTCTACAATTCCATGATTCTATGACACTTGTGTTTGACCTATAATGAAGTACGAGTAAAGCATACACAGTGTATCGGACAACACAAAACTGTGACTCGGGCTTCAAGCATCCCAGCAAACACATATTTCTCGAGGCTACTGCTTTTAAGGCTTCCTTCTCCACTCAGTTACTTAAAATGTTGAATTATTCTCTCTCTACTGCAGGTTGAAGCAGATCAGCTGCTGCAGGTTCTCATTATCAGTAAGCTCAAGACCGCACAAATTTCTAGCCTTGTGCTACAGAAATGCCTACAGGTGTTCTGGCTAGGCCTAGCATTAATTTTCAGTACATGTTTGTTAGGTATTAAAAAGCAAATTAACTGGCGGGCCAAGGGTTTTGGGAGAGTTGCCAGACAGGATCATCTGTGCTAATTTGCCAGCCTCTACCCAATTCACAGCTACAGAAACCTGCTCTCTTGTTTTAGTTGCTAATGGAGGGTTGGTGGGGTATGTACCAAACAGTAACACGCAAGACTCTCTGGAAATAAAAATCAGTTTCTGGAAATAAAAATCAGTTGCTGTTCAGAAATTACCCAGCGGATTACACATTAGAAAAACCAGGTCCTACTTAGAATGCAGGTATTCAGACAAGGGGGTGGAAAGAGAGAACTGTAGCCAATGTTAGACCTACACAGAGTAGACCCATTGATATTTCATCGGCATGACCGGCTTAGGTCCATTAATTTAAACTGAGGGTATGTCTCTTGTTGTTGCCACCTATAGCTTTTATCATACTGCACCAGACACACAGGGACGCGGGTGGCGCTGTGGGTTAAACCACAGAGCCTAGGGCTTGCTGATCAGAAGGTCGGCAGTTCGAATCCCTGCGACGGGATGAGCTCCCGTTGCTCAGTCCCTGCTCCTGCCAACCTAGCAGTTCAAAGCACGTCAAAGTACAAGTAGATAAATAGGTACCGCTCCGGCGGGAAGGTAAACAGCATTTCCGTGCGCTGCTCTGGTTCGCCAGAAGCGGCTTAGTCAAGCTAGCCACATGACCCGGAAGCTGTACGCCAGCTCCCTCGGCCAATAAAGCGAGATGAGCGCCGCAACCCCAGAGTCGGCCATGACTGGACCTAATGGTCAGGAGTCCCTTTACCTTTACCAGACACACAGGCCTGTCCTTCCAATATTACACATAACTGAGTTTCCTTTTTTAATGTAAAACTTGTAGAAGTCAAAACTTCAGCTTACCCTTCATCCTTCTAGCTCTGCAGGAGACTGCACACAGAAAAATTACCCCATGACCCAGGGGAGCCAGAGAGTGCTCAAGTCAATGCTGCAAAACAGACAGCGTTAAGGCAACGGATACATAAGTAAAAATGTCCCTGAATAACAAAATGGTCTTAACAGTTTGTACATGAAAATGGTCTTTGAATAGCTAACAATGTGCAAGACTGCCTTGGCCTAAGTTCTCTCAGGGCAGCTTCTCTGATGTGGTATTTACAAAGACAAATGCCCTATAACTAAAATTACAACATAGATCATACAGATGGGGGCAGAGATCTGGTGGGTGTTAATGTTCTCACCATGAGCTCTGCCATTATCCCAACCATTTGAATTTGAAAAGAGGCATCAAGTCGCCAGAGGTAGACTGAGCAGAAGGAATGAGATGGAGGACTTGAGGTGCTATCCAAAGATCTCATTCTGCTAGCGCAAGGCGCATGTGCTCACGAAAACAGAACTTTCTCTGTCTCTCTTCTGCAGCTCCACACACGCCTTTCCAAAGGCTCCTGGGAAGCTGAGGGCGACATTGCTGCTGCCGTGAATGCTGGAAGGAAGACCTGCTCCCTGCTGCAAGGCCCATTTCCACCTGACTTGGGGCGGGGCTCAGACTCACCTTGAACAGCTAAAAGGGGCTCCTGGAAGGCCACTGGGACATTGCTGGGTTGGGACAACTAGCTAAAATGTTTTAAATGTTTTAAACGATTCCAATTTTGGTTCCTCTGGTTTGTTTTTGTCGGGTCGGTGTTGGTTAAATGTTTAGTTGGAACTGGCAGTTATTTTAATTTGAGTATTGTTGTTATTATTGTTATTTGTATTTTGGTTGTTTTTGTTATTGATTTTTATTGATTTATTGGTCTTTGTTGCTTATGTATGATATTTTGATGTTTTGTAGTGTTTTTGTACATGTTGTAAGCTGGCCAAAGTGGCTGGGGAGACCCAGCCAGATGAGCGGGATATAAATTTAAAAAATATTATTAATATTCCAATGGTGAGAAACCACTGAATAAGATTTGGGGAATGTGCAAGAGGGGGGTAGAACAGTAAGTGGAATTGCCACTGTGCCAGCAGAACTGCACTATCACTGCTTTTGGGATGATCAATGTATAAAACTAGATACTGCCCACATGACATTTCACAGAGTGGAATAGGTTGCTTGGGGAAAGCAGGAGTTCTAGCCCTGTTCCCTTATCCTTTCCTTAATTTTCCCTGCTTCAGTCCTTCCACATTTCCCTCTCTTTCTAGACATTGTACCATCAGCTCACTCTATGCTGGAATCTAGACATGTATAAAAAAAAGTTGTAAAAATGCTTTAAAAAAAAATAAATTGAAAAATATATGGAATTTGCCATAGCTCACCATCGACATCTAGTGTCGCATTCGTATAATGCGCTTTACAACACAATTAAAACATTTTGTTTGCAGCTGTATAGCTGAGTCCTGTGTGTCCTCTGAAGTGGGAGCAAGCAGGAGAGCTGAGCAGCTCCATCCAATCCGTGGAAATGCAGTCCCCACCTCCATTCCACACATATTTATCCCATGCTCACTTCTCTTGTGTGCATAGTTGTCAGACCAAGCATGACCAGGAAGACGAGCAAAGTAAGGCACAGAGGTATATTAACCCCCCTGAAACCATTTGTTATCAATCTCCAGGGTACCAATCACCAATCAGTGGCATATGACCAAATCTGGTTCACTAGATATTATTTTACGTATTGTAATCATGTTTATAGATCTATATTGATATCTATCTATCTATGTTTTACAACAGTTCTACATAATGCAATAAAAATCATATAAGAATTTTAAAATCAGCTAACTTACAGAAAGATGCATTCTCACCTACATAAGCAAAACAAAATAAAAAATACAGTGGTACCTCGGTTTAAGAACAGCCCTTATGAACTATTCAGTATAAGAACTCCGCAAAACCGGAAGTAGTGTTCTGGTTAGCGAATTTTACCTCGGTCTATGAACGGGAGCCGAACGGTAGAAGGGCACTGGCAGCGGGAGGCCTCATTAGGGAAAGTGTGCCTCGGTTTAAGAACAACTTTGGTTTAGGACCAGACTTCCGGAACGGATTAAGTTCGTATATCGAGGTACCACTGTAGCTTTAAAAGTTGGAAGCATAAATGTAGAAGCAACAAGCCAACATTCACCAAATGCCAACCAAAATGCCTGGTATCAGTTCTGGAATATATTCTGGCTCTGTTCAGTGGGAAAGAATTTCTTAACGGCAGAGCAGTCAAAGAACCCATCCTTACTGTCCAGATTAAAAAAACCAAAAACTTGCAGTGGTATAATGGTTAGAGTGGAGACACAGGTTCCAAAGCTCACCCAGCCAAAAATCTCAATGGGGAACATTGGACTGTACCACATCTGGTTTGGGGAACCTCTAGCATTGCATATGGTGCTGGCCATTGGTTGATGAGAGTTGTAGTTCAGCAACATCTGGAGGACCAAAGGTCAAGGATCAGATTAGTCTGTTTTGGGGCCTAACCCGGCCCACCGGTCAGTTTAATCCAGTCCCTGTGTAAGTTTATTTCCTGGAGTAAAATTCTAAAAACAACTTCAACCCTAAAAAAACCTCAACAACTTTGGGGTAAAATCATAAGAAAAGCTCAACAACTTCAATCCTAAAAAAAGGTTAACAACTCTGGTAGTCCCTTCAGTCGGCCCTCATGGCCCTTCACTTCATCAATTCTGGCCCTCTTTGAAAAATGTTTGGACACCACTGGATTATAGAAATCTCCCCTATATAGATATAAAAAGATCTCTACATGGATAAGACTAGGATGTTCTCTCCAATACAATTTGTTTTCTGTGTGTAGGTATATATATAATATTTATTTTCCTCCACATGCAGACAGCATTCAGGCACATGAGTCTCTGCCTACAGCGGTATATGTTTAAGATCAGCCCCAAAATAGTCGCCCCATAAAGATACTCTCTCAACAAAAGAGTTATCTACCCTACTTGCCCACACATGCATCAGTGTCAATCTGACCTTCTGGAAGGGGAGAAAAAAAGGACCGACTCTCTCCCAATTTACAAGAGCTTCCCCTCCTGATTGCCTATGAGCAATTCTTACCCATAATAGTCAACCCGGAAGAGTGGCTGCTTGTCAGCCTGGCACAGTCCAACAGTTTAGCATTAAGAATGCAAAGTCATCTTATCAGAATCTGAAAATGCAGGCATGACCTTATATAATTTTAGAGTTTGTATGCAGCATCCCTCCACTCTGTCACAACATTTAAGTTCTGTTTACAGAACGGGCCCCTGAGCAACGGGCGACCACAAACACGAAAAACTGGAAGTGCAAACTTCCAAGTGGTCACTGCCGCCCAAAACATTGCGTTGGTCAACATCTTCTGTGCTCCCGAAATTTTCAACATTGCAGCTGTGCAGGCCTGCTGTTCTGTGCTTCAGCCAGCCATGCCTTCCTAGGGCAGACATAGAATACACTCCAATCCATTCTGCCCGCCAATATTCTGCAGTCGCTGAATACACTCAAGCCCCTGTTTTCGGATCTCCCCCTTGAGGTTTTCACCAAAACGTGGGTGGGTTTTTTTGGTAGTTCTGCAAACTTAGGCTTCCCTAAGCCAGTCTGTACATCTCTCTTGTGTATAAGCAGTGTGCCCTTTCGGCTACATAATAAGCAGCACTCACAGCCTGTACGTCGGAAATATGATTTGCACTTAACCTGATGTAAAAAGAAAAGAGCTTGCTGTGAAAATTGTGACCGAGAAATAACTAAGCTATCGCCCCCTGAGCTATCACTTGCAAATGTTCTTTCTTCACTGAGGCAACTTTTGTACCTTGCAATTAATTTTTACTTTCAGGATGAGTCAACGTTTCAGCGTTTGAAGAGAACTTCCTTGAAGTGGCCTGCTGGTGTTATTCAAGAACAGCATAATAAGTTATTATGGGTAGGAACAGCTCTGAGGTTTGACAAGAGGACATTCCAACCATACAAAATTTGAACCACAGCTTGTGTTTCATAGATGGATAAAAATCAATCACATTTTTAAGCTTAAAAACTTCAAAAGTATTAACTTTAATAATAATAATAAAGTTTTAAAACTGATTTTTAAAAATAGTCTTTTTAAAAAACAACAAACTAGTTCAAATTAAAAGGTTTTTTATGCAAACTTGTTCAAGAGAGTTAAGCAGATGTTAAACCTGAATCAAAGTTTTCTCCACGGCTCGTTTTTACACAAATGCAAAATCACACTTCAAAACTCGGTTGTGATATTGCAGCCCATTCCGTGAAGGTTTACTCAGTTTAAGTCAACAATTTATTCAACTGCTCCCAATATGTGTAGGATTGAAGCCTAAATTAATGGTTTAAATTGTCTTGCTTTAAAAAAATAAATAAACCAGTCCAGCCTAATCTGCAGAAGAATCCTCTACGGGTAATGGTCTTCAAACAAACACATCGTTTTCACTTAGGGTTTACTTATATCCCACCTTTATAGCAGCAAACAAAAAGTGATTAATATATATATATATAATCACCATACATAGCAAAGGCAAAGGTACCCACTCTTGCGTCTCCCACTTTGCAAGCAGTAACTCCTGTTGCCTGCAAAGTCTGCGAGAAATTGTTCCGCACTTCCTCCAAATTTGTTCTGCAACTTCTCAACTGTGCCTTTGAAAACCCAGTCCTCCATCTCATCACAGCTTCCTTCTTCTTTGCCCTCACTCCTACCTCTGTGCCTCGCTGGCATTTTAAAAAAACCCACCATACTTTAAGGTACTCTAGTGAGGCAGCAACTCCAAATTAGTCGGAAGGCTTTGGCTACTGTGAAATATTTTCCCCGTTTCAACTTTGCTCGTTCCCCAACACTTTCCGTCTTAAGACTGTATAAAATGTCAGTCAGTCTACTTGTACAGGGTACAATTGTTACCCCAGAGGATTAGCGCGGTATGTACCAAGCTCTACACCGTGAGAGATTATTTGAAAGAGGTCAGCTCTGCAGACGAGTCACAGTAGCTAATACTTGGAAAACATCACTCATCTTTTAAAATCTCTTTCTACATAATTAGTTTAAGAAGTCGGAGCTTTTCAGTCGGAGGTTTACATGCATTTCACTTCATGACGTTTCCTTTGATGGACGGTGCAAAAGGGTTTCAAAGCCTCCTGTTAGACGAGCAGTCTGGGATCAAAACCAGTCACAGAGTTTTTGCAGACTGTAGGATTTGCATGCACGAAAAAGAGAGAGACAAAAATCTCCAAACTCAGCTACTTGCCACAATCTGAGGTAGACTTTTACCCGTAAGAGCAAATACTCTGAACTAACAGGAACTCTGAAGTATGGTATGTTTCAGAAACCAAGCAGCCATGTGGGGTCACCAACTTTGCCAAGACTACTCCCTGGAAATCTTCCCAAGTTGTTGCATGTCTCCATTGTCCACGAGCACATCATTTCTTTGCAACATCTAGTGTAAACACTGCTCACAAATTTGGGGACAGAATGAAAGGGAGAGAAGGCACAAGTATCTGTATACGTAATTCCAAAACTCTGTGCTAGAGTACCCTACAAGAGAACTCCTAGCACAACACAAGAAATAGAAGTTTCTGGAAGCCCAAAGCCCACAACATTTCTGAATGGTTCACTGCTGTTGTGTTGCCTGCTTCCCCTCAGCTTATGTTGGACTGAATGGTTCAACTTCCTTTTTGTGGCTGAATGGACCATTCAGTCATACTCAATATAGAGAGCAGAACTGCCAGGCCCAGAGGTGGCTGCTGGTATCACTGCTCAAGCCTTGCCTCTTTTTCCAGTCAAAAAGCACACCCAGATCAGCAAGCTGTGCAGAGTCGCACAGACAGGGAGGGAGGCAAAAAAGTAAACTGACCCCAGGGGGAACTTGCTGAGGAGAACTGGTAGGGTGGAATCACAAGAACTCCTTCCCACCTGCTAATCCTCTCCTGAAAAATTTCCCTGCCCTGCATTGGCATCACGAGGCAAACCCAAAGTTGGGAAACCTGTGTTTGCCACATAACAAACAGCTCCAACCCCATAACAAACATTTTCAGCCCCATAACAAACAGTTCGGACTGCCCACACACACACACACACACACACAACGCATGTGGTCCGGACAACAAAAGAGCCCAGCATACATTTCAAGTTTTAGACAGGTGATGAAACAGGACTGAAACAGAAATTATGTAGGTGCCCAAGTGACTTCCGTCCTCGCTCAAAACCTGTGAGTTGTGCAAGCAAAGTTTCTTACATCTGGGGGACAGTTAAGCCACAGCGAGTCTAAAAATGTTGAAATCAAGTTAGTACAGAGTCAGAAAACAGGCTACGGCCTCATTTACGCTTAGGCCTTGGTTGCACATTACAGTAAGCCAAATAAGGGGTTGCCATGATTCCATGGAGCTCACAGCCACCACGTCTGCTATCTGGTCTTTTTCACTCTCACGCCACCATCAAGACTTGGCTTACGATATAATCCAACCACGGCAGAAGTACAGACCGGAGAGGCTGCCAACTCCTCTCTGAGCACCAGCACATTCCCGGTTGCATGCCTTCCCTGCCCTTGGCCACTCTACTGGACCTCCAGAGAGGGAGTTCAGAAGATCTCTCCCTCAGATTAACCACAGCTTGCTGTGACATGCACACCCAGATAAGAATGGCTCACTGAAACAAGCCAACTTCAAGCCAAAGTTTAAAACGGCTGGCTTGTTTCAGGAACTGGAAGATCAACATTGACAGACATAGCGTTCAACTGTGGTTCAAGTGAAAGCTCCTCAAGAGGAGGAGGAGTGTGAGCCAAAGGTTCACTGTGGTCAGTGGCAGACTTTGGGCTCTCAAATTTTGGCAGGGCCCTGTGAAACACTACAATTTGGCACATACACACATACCACCTCTCAAGTTCCGTTCTACAAAGTTGTTGTGGTGCCCCCTGCAGTATGGCTGCCCTGGTTGCCCCACTCTAAAACCACCTCTGCTGCGGCTCATCTATGGCTTAGCATCACATGCAAACGTAGACTACAACTTATGCACTCACACTAAATTACAGAAGCTCTTACTCTAATATTTCTCTTGCACCTTTCTTCTAGCAAGCTCATGCACAAAGCTCCTAGGTGGTGTCCCATCCAGGCGTTCACCAGATCCAGAACTGCGTTAGCTTCAGCTAGGTTGCTGCATTGTGTGCTTTGATGACCTTTAATCCCATTAAAGTTAATGGAAATCACGTCATGGACTGTGAAAAGCAACCGTTTTCAGTACGGGGTTTCATCTCTGCATTATGTGAGTTTTTACAATTTAGTGAACTCTCCACGGGCCTCATGACTATTCAGAGAACCCGGAGACACACCAGGAAATGCTGCCAGTCGCCCGGCTGAGCTGGTCAGGATTCACTAGTGATAACCGGGGAAAAATAGGAAAATAAGACTGCTTTCAGACATTCACAAAATTCATTTGAGATTGTTGCCACTGAGATGTGAACATTCACACCAAGTTTTGGACAACCAACACATTCCCAGAGCACAAGGCTACTGGTTTTCAGAGAGGTCATTGCACGAACTACCTCCATATTTTCCCCTGAACACATTCCTGTCTGGGCCATATTATCCACTAAGAACAGGTCCCATGCAAGTCGTAGTTATTTAAATGCTGATTATGTAGGAGCAGCGCATTACAGACTGCACCCAAAGTTTTCTCTCTCTCTCTCTGCTTTCCTTGACAGCTGTAGAAATGTCACCTTGGAAAAGCGGCAGCTGTTACAAATTATCCACTTAGCTAAGCTCTCCCCCGAGTTCTTTAATTTTATTGCAAATGAAGGCACAAGGTGGGAAAGGAGCATAAGAGGAGTGGGGGAGGGTGGACTTGGTCGTCCCCCCCCCCTTCTTATTTGTTTGTTTCGCATAGATCCAGGTTCTGGTTGCAATCTTATTAATGGTACATTTATTTCTTTTAATAAAAATGTTGCAAGACTCCTCATTTCTCCCCACAAAAAGTTCCTAACAGAGAGCAGTAATTAAAAAAAAATACCAATACAAGATTCAGTGAGTGCAGAAGCACAATGACAAGAATGGTACTTAAAGAAAACCAGCGAGAGGAGATCTGGTGATAATCCCTTGGAGGGGACTGTGACCTCAACCTAGGTACAAAGGTTGCAGAAGACCTGTATACATAGTGAAGCCTGCAGATTTAAAAATATGTATGTTATAGAATCATGCCAAGGGGATAATTCAAAAGGCATGAGCAAGATTCTTCAAACCTGGAACCGTCGGTTTGAGGAAGGACAAAGAGAAACAACAAATCATAAATAATTTGCCAAGGCAATAATGAAACGCGTTTGTTAATTCAAAGGCTCGACAGCTTAATTAACAAATAAAAGCTCAGCTTTCTTTGTTGTATTTCCTTTACCACATATTGGCCAAACACACCCCTTGCATTTCCCCACCCCAACTTTGCTGCATTCAAATTTTTTACCAATTTTCAAGCCTATTCCAGCAAAAGATTGAATTGTTTCCAAAGAAAGTCACTTCGGTGAAATTGCCTGTTGGAACAAAACACCACAGCGAGAGCCATCCGTTTACCTTTTAAAATCCGGTTTGCTTTCTCTCAGCAACCTTTCCTAATGAGACAAAGTATATCCTCTCTCCACCCGCCCTCCCCGATTTTAACAAAACCAGAATTTTGTTTCCATAAATAGATGGACAAGGAAGAGAGATTTCAAGTTGCCTTCATTTCTTTGCCATTGTCAAAGCAAAAGAGCTTCAGGGGGGAAGGAAAGCAGCCCATCAGACTGCTGAACGTTTGCCTCTTTTGAGAGGCATTTTAAGAGGAAGAGAGACCAGTCTCTACTCCACCTTCGTTTTACGGTATGTGTTAATGAACTGTAGGGCTCAGCATAGCTCAGTTAAAAATCAGCGGTGATGCAACCACAGACACAGAGTTCAACAAGATCTCGGCGCATGGCGTTGCTCCAGAGATAGCAGCATTAACGCAGCAACAGATCCGGAACGTATTTTCGGCGGCATTACCTGTATCTCTCATTGCGTCTCGCTCATCCTTTTCTGCATGATGATATCAAGGAGGCGAACTGTTCAGCTGCTCACAGGCGGAGGCGACAGCCAGGAAGCACAGTTGTGACAGAGCTTTGTTCTGCCTGCAGTGAATTACAGGAAGCCAGGGTTAGACAACACAGCAGCAGCAGCAGGCAGCAGCAGCAGCAGCAACAACAAATTAAAAAACCAAAGTGTCCCTTTTTCAGCCTGGATTTGCACATCTATTGGGAGACGGAGGACCAAAAGGGGCAGGGGGGAGGAAGAGTCATGAAACGGGACTGACGGGAGAATATTCCATTGCATGTTTGCCGGATCTCTATTTAACGAGCAAGCAAGTTGAAATCTTCTCCATCGCTCTTTCGTGAAGCAGCCTACCCTTCGGGCAATCCCCCTCCTCGCCAGAAACAGAAACAGACACCCTGTAGCTATTACAGATTAGACTTGATGTGGACAGAATATAGTTGCCTGCCTGGATGAAGCTATATATAAATACAGCCGCTGATCAACTTGCATAATCAGACTGTTCTGTCACCATCACCTCCACTCCCTAGCAACCCAACTCACCACCACCAGCTCCCCCCCCCCTTTTAAAATAATAAAATAAAAGGTGAAAAGGGTGCGTGGGTTTTCAGAACGGCACAAGGCACAAAAGCCTTTTACCCCCCCTCCCAAAGATAACACGCAAACCCTTTTCTGTCTCTTTCTTTAAAACAAAAACAACCCCCCCCCCCAAAAAACCCCGACCCACAGTGCTTCATATACCCTAAGCTCTTGTTCTTTTGCCTTGCCCTTCCGGCTTCACCCCTGTCAAGCAGAATCTGGCCAAATGGAAAAAGAAAGGGGGTCACACACACAAAACCAAACATCTGTCTCTTCTTGCCCCTCCTCTGAGAGGTGTTGGGGGGGGGAGAGAATCCATGCTGGGAGGTACAAAAAGAAAACATAACACAGCCACAACCATCCCCCCCAAGATGCAGCTGGGTGGCTTACAAGCTAGCTCGCTTGCATTTCTTTTTTTGCTTTTAAAGTACGGAGTGATTTCATATATATATATATATGCCTCCTTAAGTGTTTCTAGAGAGTGAGCCGGGTGGATGGGGAGTAGAGGCTTGCCGGTTCGCAGATTTGGCCACTGCTCCAGAGAAGGCATCTAAGGACATATTGCATCGCACCAAAACCCTTCTCTCTCTCACAAGCAACTTGCCAGCACTCAAACCCCAATGCACGTGCCCAGCGCCCCCCCAATCCCCAGACACCCCCCCCAATATGCCTATGAGCGGAGTAACCCTCTATGCATGCCTCCTCAAGGGATAAACCCTGCTGAATAGGGCTTACTCCCAGGTAAGGCTGCAACCCCAAGCCCCGCTTACCTGAGAGTGAGCCCCACGGAATTACTTCCGAGTAGACAGGGCTAGGTTTGGGTCATTAGTTGCTCCTGCAAACCCTGATATGCAGAAAACCTGAGGAGGAGGAGAAGGAAGCAGACTTTTTAATATATATGTATATTTCCCCCCACCCTTTTCTGTTGCTTTTCTTGGAAATTACAAAACAACTCTCCTCCACCAACACACACACCCCTCTTGCATGACAAATCCTCCTTTCCAGACAGACTCTCGCTGCCTTTGCTGCATTCAACAGTTTAGATGGGAAGGCTAAAAGGTTAAAGCTGGGGGAGGGAAGAGGAAAATCGACGCTCGCTGGCCTTTTTCTGCATAGATGTCCGAGATATGCATAGTGTGCGCTTATTTCTGCCGCCGCCACCCCCCCCCCTTTTTGGGGGGTCCAAATGCAGCCCCCCTGCTAGCAAGCCAGCTGGAGCTGAGGCAGGATATGACTTTGGAGGCTGGTTTTCAGATAGAAATATATATATATAATGGTTTTAAAAGCAAGCACACGTTTTGCACAGCTCCGCAGAGCTCCTACCCATTCATGCAGCCTGCAGCCTCTGAAATCTTGCCTGATCCGCCGTCGGCAGCAAATTGAAGACGGAGGAGGCGAGGGAGGGAGGGGGATGCTTGCCGGAGAGAGCCTTGAATGTACAAGAAACTGGAGGCGGGACGGGAAGGATCCGCCCCCTCCCTTCGCGTCCCGCCCCTTTCCTGACATTTCCCCCCCCCCCCGCACCTCTCTCACCTTCCCTCCCCGTTTCCCAAAAAAACCCCACTAACGAACCATTTCCCGCCCATCCAACTCAAGCTTCCGCCGGCTTTTGCCAGCGACAGAGGCAGAGGAAGCATCTCAAAGGAGTCGCGGCATTGTGGAGTCGGAGGGGACACCGAGGGTCATCTAGTCCAACCCCCTGCAATGCAGGAATCTCAGCTGGATCGTGGAAGGAGGGAGAGAGGGTCCAACAAGTCTTGTGGCAGGCAGTTCCACTGTCAAACAGCTCGTGTGGCATCTTTTTTTTATTTTTTAAGAACATGTTTATTGTAGCATAATTGTAGCATACGGGGGCCAGAGTTCACTTCATCAGAGGCACGAGGTGTTGTTCACAGTTGCCATGGGCAATTTTATGTGGTGTACATGTGTTTCTGCGCGTGCAAAAATGCCAACAGGCTGCCTGTGACCATCCTAAAAGCCATCATGTTATATAGTTTGCTAATTCTGGGCGATCATAAAAGTACCAAGGACTGTGGGACTCTTAATCTCGGGGTTGTGGGTTTGACCTCCATGTTGGGCGCAAGATTTCTGCAATGCAGGGGGGTTGGACTAGATGACCCTCAGGGGTCCTTCCCACTCTACAATTCCATGATTCGGTGGTAAATCAGTGGCTGTGCAGTGCAGTTGGTTACGGTGGCTGGATCAGGACCTGGGGAGACCAGCGTTCAAATTCCCACCCAGCCGTGAAGGAGGATGGGGTGAGGAAGGAGAGCCCCATGTACAACACCACTTTGAGCTCCCTGTGGGATAGGAATGACATTTATTAAGTAGTGGGTGGACACATCAGACGACACAGAGAACAAAATTAATAAGGGAAGTTTTTAATGTTTGATGTTTTATTCTGTTTTTAATCTGTTGGGAGCCACACAGAGTGGCTGGGGAAACCCAGCCGGATGGGCAGGGTATAAATAAATTAATAATAATAATAATAATAATAATAATAAAACAAATAAATCTTAACACATTGTAAATCAGGTTGCTTTTGCAGCTGCATGCAGCTAACAATCTCCCCATCCCTGTTTTTCGTTTGCGGGCAAGGAAAGGAGGATGTTCCTTAAGTTCCATTCAGTATTGGGACGTAAAAAAGGAGAGAGTGCCTCTGAGCATGTCTGCAACGCATCGCCTGCAGCAGTTGCGCACGAAGACAGTGACTGTGGTGGAGCAGGAGACTCTTCATCTCAAGGGTTCTGGGTTCAAGCCCTGCATTGTGCAAAAGATTCTTGCATTGGACTAGATGACCCTTGCGATCCCTCTTTCAACCCTATGATTAGGCAAATTATTTTACTGGTTTCTCACTTTTCACCCTCAGTCATTCACCAGCTGCATCATGCAGCCAGATATTCAACAGGTGACTCTCCCCACATCACTATCCTTCCTTGCTGCTGCCTGTTGAATTTCACAGAGCTCGACGCCATCTTTCAAGAATTCTCACACCCTGCTGGCAGCAGCCTGGACCATCCCGATGGAGACATAGAGATTCTCAACAAGATGGTGGCCATCCATCTTGTTCAAAATGTTGCCACTGGAGTAGGGGCCACTTGACACTGGGAAGTTGTGTCTGACGCTTTTCCTGCCATCGGGTGTAACATATCGTTGTGGCAGGAAAAAACAAAGCTGGAACCTTTGTTTAACTCTTCAGAATACTTTTATTCAATACCGTTGTTCAGAATCGCAGTCCTCCACAAAATGTAATATTTGTAATCGTTATACTGTGGTACCTCGGGTTAAGAACTTAATTCGTTCCAGAGGTCTGTTCTTAACCTGAAACTGTTCTTAACCTGATGTACCACTTTAGCTAATGGGGCCTCCTGCTGCCACCGCACCACTGCCAGGCAATTTCTGTTCTCATCCTGAGGTAAAGTTCTTAACCTGAGGTACTATTTCTGGGTTAGCGGAGTCTGTAACCTGAAGCGTCTGTAACCTGCAATCACCCCTAAGCGCAGAGAAAAAGAAACAAATTATGTGTGTCTCTCTTTGGATGCAGTGGACTGGTAGGGCACAAGGCAAGGAGGCCAACAGTAGGTGGAGCCAGAGCCAACTAAATCTGGGTCTATTCTGCTTCCAGAAAGGCACCATTGAGACTAAGGAGGAGGAGTGCTGGCATGAGATGGCAGGCAGTTGGGGGCTGATGATGGGCAAATTGTGGTTGGTGGAGGCATGCCCCATTTGCCCCAGTGGACCAGCCCCACAGAATGGAACTTGCTTCTGAGTAACCAAGCAGAACATCGCATAGAGGGCTCTCATCCAGATAACCTGTGAATTCAGCATTCGTCGTGATTTGCTTGCACAATGCGGTGGTTAAATGGGGTGGCATGCAGCTAAGTTTTACCCACAGCTGATGTGTAAGTAACGGTCGTAACATAGTCGTGTTTAGTCATTTCGTGGAACGATACAGTTGGCAGGACCCTGAGGATCATCTAGTCCAATCCCCTGCAATGCAGGAATACGCAACGTGCAGGGATCGAGCCCACGACCTTGGCATTACCAGCACCAAGCTCTAACCAGCTGAGCTATCTGGAAGCTCATTGGGTCTACTGCGAATAAACCTTCATTGAATGTGTCTGCTTTTTATTGCCCATATGGGGAAGTCATAGTACCATGAGCATTCGTCCTTGTTTGCATGCGGGAGATTTACACGTTTTCCTGTTAATCATTTGTTCAACCCACACTTCTCGGTCCAGTTTCCCAGTCCCTTTCCTAACTGCAAGACGTCTGGGTGGTTTTTTTTTTAATAGATCTGTTTTGAGCTTAGGGTGATAGAGCCCTTTAACTGAGCCAACTCTCTCATAAGGTGGTGGACTCTAGTTCTTTTGGAGATTTTAAAGCAGACGTTGGATGGCGATCTCTCTGGAATGCTTTAGCTGAGATTCCTGCATTGCAGGGGGTTGGACTAGATGACCACCAGAGGATCCCTTCCAACGCGACAATTCTATGATTCTCTGATTCAGTATGTGCTTGAATCACTCCCTCAAAATAGTTAGTGGCAGTCTGAGTGCACCGTGAGAGAGAGAGGAAGAGACAGAAATGACCGTGCTCAGTGAAGTATTAGTTTTGTGGTAGCTGTTATGGAAGAATTCTAGCATTGCTTGCTACTACAGGTTTTGTTTATTCTGGATTTGGCCGCACGGTGTGGGAATGAAAGTAGACTATAGAATGGAAAGATAGGAGTTGTGTCAGCAGAAAATATGGAAGAGAAAGAAAGGCTGGAGGTACCAAGTCCATATGTTTCGTGGACTTGGCAACAGACCTGCCAGATAAGAGCAGAGGTACAGAACTCAAAGCATATGCTGAAGCATATGCTGAAGCCTGCATATGCACCATAAACTAGGATTCACACACCCACACACATACCCAGAAAGGATCTTGGAAACTGTAGTTTACGTCTCATGGAGCTATCATTCCCAGCACTCTTAACAAAGTACAGCATTCTTTGGAGGGAAAAGTGCTCAAAATAAATACAGTATATGTGTCTCTCAGCAAATATTTAAGTAAACGCGCTAATCTGCTAATCTGCTAAAATAAAACTAAACAAGACGAGTCGGAGGAACAAGAATCAATCATGAGAAGATATGCCAAGACTCGGTATGGCAAAGGGACTGGATGGGGGAGGGGAAAAAAACTTTCCTTTCTTTCCTCTATGTGATTAAACAAGAATCCCCCCCCCCATAAGTCAGAAATGCCGTTTTAATGACTTAAGCTGTGGATTTACGACTGTGTGGAGATGAATTTTCTAACCAAAGCATGTTTTAAGAAGAGCGTGGAAAGTTTAAGAGTTTTGGAATGACGCAGTTAAAAATACCATCGCCATGTTGGTAAGCTCTGTCGGAGGACTTGAGTCTGGGAGGAGGAAAAGAGCTGTTTTTATATTGTGGGTGAGACTCCTCAGTGGGACTTAAGAACGGCAGATCCTGAGATTAATGATGGAAAGAGCGATGTTATGTATGAAAGTAATGATATATGGAAACCATCTCAATATGAGGATTGGACGAACGCAATTATATCCACACAGGATATAATTGGTGTTTATCTGCTTAAGGAGATTATCAGAAGAGATTATAAAGAAAAAAAGAAAAAATATACGAACAAGATGAGATGTGGAAACAGCAAGATAAGACGGGATAGAATTATGAACTTTATTTGGACTGATTTGGATATTAACGCAGTAGCAAGATGATGATCAGAATCCCCCTTCGGAACTTGAAATATGGGTCCCCTCAACAAAAATTTAAAATTCAGCTTTGTAATTCGGAATTTATGTGATGTGATTTGATTTGATTTGATTGGTCGGTTAATAAAAATTATTTAAAATAAATAAATAAATAAATAAAACTATTTCAGAAAACTATAGGGGGTGTTGGGCTGCCAAGAGTTTGTTCGGATGCTGGATGTGTTATGTACTGAAGTTTTCACCCTGGGCCAGCAGGGGGGTACTGTAGATAGTTTTCACTCAGGTCCACATATGCAAATAAGGGATTGAAAGTGATGTTCAGTGATTGGATAGTTACAGAAAATGGTTACTGTTGCGTTCTAATGGAGCTCTATATAAGCAGGCTGGCCGAACCCTTCAGTTCAGTTCTGTTCTAGCCTGTGAATAAACAAGAGCTGTTTGAAGAATCGCTGTGTCGTCTGATATGTTCACCCACAACTTAACAGGATGTTTGCAACAGCTTCAGCAGGCCCTGTTTGCAAGATTGTATATCCTAGTTCGCCCTGAACTCATTTTAATGTGTGCACACATCCAATACGCAAGATTAGTGGCTCTAGCAATTTATGACCTGTGTGTGAGCTTTCATGTAATAGCCGCAACATAAGAATTGGCCCTGGATCGTAAGAAGAATCAAGCTTGCTCTTTGCCCTGCTTTGCATCCCATAATTTGCCCTCGTATCCATTCAGGTTAGCTGGAACAAGTGGAATGTGGAATGTGCCAGCCAGCCATGCCTTCCTACAGGATACTCCATTCTGTTCCACTGTCTGCCCCAAGTGTCAGTCAGCATCCTGCACACTTTCAGGGGGGTTAATGGGTCACTGGCAACAGAGTGTTGTTGTTTAATTTACTGGATATTCTATGGAAAGGGTAAATCCAGATTAAATGTGTGGATTGGCGGGGGCAAGTGCAGACTGGGATTTTGACATCAGCTAGGAAAAACTTGCATGTGGTTCTATAATAAACACTGAACTGCATGCATCCTCAGTCCTCAACGGGCTGTTTGGGAGATTTCCCCCCACCCCCTTAGGGTTTTCTTTTCTTTTGTTGTACCTTAGACCCCCCCCCCTCCCTCCTGATATCTCCCTCCTGTGTGTGGCTGTCACTGTTTTGGCTACATTAATTATCACCTCTAAATACCAAAAATATCTATTCAAATTAGTACTGAGAAGAGCTACTTCTTCTCTGTAGAGTTTCATTAGCCAGAAGGTTGATTAAAGAATTAATTTTAAGACCATTTGTTTTGTCATAAAAGCTTGGATGTTTGTTTTGTGTTCGTTCTCAGGGAATTGAGCTTCCTTGAGTGACCCAGGAAAAAAGGAGGAATGATTTCTCTAGGGCTTGACCATACCCACACAGAACTTTTTTTTTTTTTTAGTTCCTTTTTGCTTTCACATTTCCAACAGAACTGCTGCAAATAAATATTGCATGAGCAATTTGGGCATAATTCTCTTTCTGAAAGACAAGGTAGCAGGTGGAAGATTTTTCTAAAAAATATTTTACCCAGAATGACTGGAAATCTAAAAGTCACTCACATGATTGGCAGCGTCGTGAAACAGAAAACATTGCTTGGTATTGAGTAACATGAACATTCTGCCTATGATGTCTACTCAGAAGTAAGGTCTACTGAATTCAGTGAGACTTACTTTGTTGGGATTGCAGGCTAATTTCACACTTCCAAAGTCATTGCTTGCAATTGCAGTTACTTAATGATGAATATGTATTTGTGAACTAACCCTGCATTATACTGAAACCAACTGGGCATGCATCCATGCAACACAATGGAAGAATTTGACTATTCTAGGACTTTCTTTTGAGAAGTGATCAGAAATAATCACTTGCAGTGCCCCAACTCTAGAACTTTCCGAGATTTGTCAAAGCCTGACTTTGAACATCATTCAGGGAACGTTCTCTGTTTGGTGATTATTCTTTCCATAGGAATAACATTATTTTAGTGGTGTAAATATTAGACATACATTATATATTTTAAATTTACCAGCGTCCCATCTTAATACAGGAATCATGTTTCGAAAGGCTGTTAGATATGTAGATTGGCAAATTCTAATTCTCAAAATAAAATAATAACTGTATCTACAATATTAAGCATTTTTTATTATTCCATGAAATTTTTCGTGTTTGGGTGTGTCTTGCTTAGGGCCTCAATTCTTTCTCTCACTTGCTTAAAAGTAAAGGTAAAGGACCCCTGACAGTTAAGTCCAGCCGCGAACGACTGTGGGGTTGTGGCGCTCATCTCGCTTTACTGGCTGAGGGAGCCAGTTTGTCTGCAGACAGTTTTTCCGGGTCATGTGGCCAGCATGACTAAGCCGATTCTGGCGAAACCAGAGCAGCACACGGAAACTCCGTTTACCTTCCTGCCAGAGCGGTACCTATTCATCTACTTGCACTGGCGTGCTTTCGAACTGCTAGGTTGGCAGGAGCTGGGACTGAGCAACAGGAACTCCCCCCATCGTGGGGATTTGAACTGCCGACCTTCCGATCGGCAAGCCCAAGGCTCAGTGGTTTAGACCACAGCGCCACCCACATCCCCCACAGTATTTATTTTCAAGGGGAGCAATCTATCATCAGGCCTAACCATTGGCAGTGTCTCTGAATTACAGAATGGATTTTCATTATGTTTGATTCAAATATCTATTTGTTTTATTTCGTTATTTGATGCCACCTATGAATATTTGGTCAGCCCTAAATATTTTGTTTTGTTATGAAAAAGGTGGCCAGGATGTAATTTAAGGCAGCAGTCCTATATACACTCTGTCACTGGGGCTTTCCTCTGAGTCTGCAGAGGAAAGGTTTCTAATTAAAGTGTCCTGACAGTTGACCCAACAATCACCAAGCCTGAGCCTCAGGAAGGCTCCAAATAAGAGGAAATGACTTTTGGAGCCATAAGCACCTATTTCCACCCCCCCCCTCCAAAATTAAACTCCGGGCAGGTCTAACGATCCAATCCTGCCATACACCGGGAGGTTATTGCTTGCTCAGAACAGCTGGTGTCTGTTCTGCATTCTGATGCAGGATCCCACTGTGAGCAGCAAAACAGAGATTCTGCACTGATGAGAAGGTCCGCTTACATATGCATAAGACTTTGTGTGCATGGAACAAGGCAGATTGGGAGGTGAGGTACGGCAGATGAGTGATATACAGCGTGCTTTCAGTGTCATAGGTTGAGTCTCTGCCATCTCTACCTGCAAGGAGCTGTGTTTATTTTGTCAGACAAGCAGAGATGACTGAGTTAGACGGAACATGGTTTGTCACAATATAAGAAATCTACATATGTTTGGAACCTGGGTGGGCCATTTACCACTAATCTCTGCAGCATCAGACTGTTCATATATGCATTTAATATCAGAGTTGCTACGTGCCTTTGAATAGAGATGTGAATGGTTGTCTGATTCCTACAACACAGAATCATAGAACTGTAGAATGGGAAGGGACCCCGAGGGTCATCTAGTCCAACCCCCTGCAATGCAGGAATCTCAACTAGATCATACATGACAGAAGGCCATTTGCTTAAAAACCTCCAATGAATGAGAGTCCATAACCTCTCCATTGTTTGTTCCATTGTCGAACAGCTCTGACTGTAAGAAAGTTCTTCCTGAAGATGGCTATGAAATCTTCTCTCAGACTTCTCTTTTCCAGGATAAACATACCCAGCTCCTTCAACCGTTCCTCATATGGCTTTTTTTCTAGACTCTTGATCATCCTGGCTGTCCTCCTCTGCACACGTTCCAGCTTGTCAACATCCTTCTTAAATTGTGGTGCCCAGAACTGGACACAGTATTCCAGGTGAGGTCTGACCAAGGCAGAATAGAGTGGTACTATTACTTCCCTCGATCTGGGTAACAAAAATTACTCTTGTGTAGTGTTTTGTGGTGCAGGGATTGCACATGCTTGACCTTTTCAAAATATGTATTCAAATACCTGGAAATAAATAAAATCTTAATTTTGTCAAAATATTCAATTGATAACTCCCTAAACTGACATAGAAAAAGACAAATTCTAATCGATTAAAGACAAAGAAGTTTGTTTTAATAATAACAACAACAATTTTAAAATAGCCAGGGTTTTCTTCAACGTGCATGCACACACACAACATCCTTAGAAGGAGAAAGACAAGTAAATCCTGACACAGGATTGTAAGTCCAGAAATGCACTCATTTCTGAAAAACTCGGCAGAGTTTGACAAAAACCCCTTGGCTCTATGGAACTGACACCACATAACACGGGTCAGTATATTCCTCATGGACATGAATTCTGTGTGATCATAACAGTTGCTTCCATTTCAGCTGCAACGGAAAAATAAAAACAACACAGTTTCCCAGCAGCACGAGCGTCTGCTAGAGCAGTTTTGCACATGAAATGAAGGGTCATGGTTTTTACTAGTTCACTAAAGTCATATCAGTTGACATTGATCAGATATGATTGCATGCCATGAAATATGCTGAAGAAATCAACATCACCAACCTTTTACAGACTTGGCTGCTATATCAGCACAAACCCAGGTTTCATTTGTCCGTCTTGCTACTTGTCAGGACCTACCAGCTCTCAGAGCCCGACTTGGCTGGGATCTTTTCCTGAAGAGGAAGGAATCCCCCTCCCCAGGGGCTTCGACTTGCCCCCCACATTGAGGGGGAGCAACCACATGACATGCCACATGATGCCGTGTGCCACATGCGCTGAGGCAAGGCAGGACGCGTGGAGGGCGATCTTTGCACTGCCGCCCTGCGCTCCTGGGCTCCCGAGCTTCTGGGCGGATGCTGAGATGAGCGAAGCAAAGATCTCGCTTGTCCCAGCTGCTACCCGGTTCCTGGGCTGCCGGAGGCTGGGGCGCACAGAGGGTGCCCAGCAGCAGTGGAGGATGGTAGCCCCCCAATATGGGGGCCGCGGCCCCCTGCCTCACAATATTGGAAGAGCTGAAGCTGCCCCCCGTCCCCTATACAGTGGTACCTTGGGTTACAGACGCTTCAGGTTACAGACTCCACTAACCCAGAAATAGTTGCTGTTGTTGTTGTTTAGTCATTTAGTCGTGTCCGACCCTTCGTGACCCCATGGACCAGAGCACACCAGGCACTCCTGTTTTCCACTGCCTCCCACAGTTTGGTCAAACTCATGTTGGTAGCTTCAAGAATACTGTCCAACCATCTCGTCCTCTGTCGTTCCCTTCTCCTTGTGCCCTCAATCTTTCCCAACATCAGGGTCTTTTCCAAGGAGTCTTCTCTTCTCATGAGGTGGCCAAAGTATTGGAGCTTCAGCTTCAGGATCTGTCCTTCCAGTGAGCACTCAGGGCTGATTTCCTTCAGAATGGATAGGTTTGATCTTCTTGCAGCCCATGGGACTCTCAAGAGTGTCCTCCAACACCATAATTCAAAAGCATCAATTCTTCAGCGATCAGCCTACTTTATGGTCCAGCTCTCACTTCCATATCAGAAATAGTACCTCAGGTTAAGAACTATGCTTCAGGATGAGAAATCGTACAGCAGCAGTGGGAGGCCCCATTAGCTAAAGTGGTACCTCAGATTAAGAACAGTGTCAGGTTAAGAACGGACCTCCAGAACGAATTAAGTTCTTAACCCGAGGTATCACTGTACCTGGCTCACCTGCCGCTCCCCATGGAGGTTGAGAGGAGAAGGAGAGGGGTACCCTGAGACAGCCGCTACAAGGGATAAGTCACCCTGTATGGAAGGAATTGAACAGATACTGTCCATTCAGGTATGTGGTAAGAGATTTCGTATTTACTTGAATGTAATGCTCCCCTTTTTTGGTCCAATTACATTGTGAAAATGAAGGTGAGCATTAGATTCGATCCCGCATTACAGTCAGGTAAATACTGCTAAGTATCCCTTTGTTTCTTACTAACAGGCCCACAAAGTGGGAGCTGAAGGAAGATGTCCCATTCCAGCTGCAGGATGGATGTCAGTCAGGAGGACCTACCTAGCTACATGGTCCAGTGGGTGGGAGAAGGAAGCAGATAGTTCAGCTCATGGTTTTTAACCCTGCAAATGATTTATTTTATCCCAGGGTTCGTAAGCCTAAACCACTGCCCATTTGGCTCTCTTACAATACAGTGGTACCTCGGGTTACAGACTCCGCTAACTCGGAAGTAGTACCTCAGGTTAAGAACTTTACCTCAGGATGAGAACAGAAATCGCGTGGCAGTGGCGGGAGGCCCCATTAGCTAAAGTGGTACCTCAGGTTAAGAACGGTTTCAGGTTAAGAACGGACCTCTGGAACGAATTAAGTTTGTAACCCGAGGTACCACTGTATTGTTGTTCATAGGCCTTTCGTCAATCCTCAGATCATTTTTTCTTTTTTCCCCTTTTCTTTTTTCTTTTTTTAAAAAAAATCCTTTCTCACGAGTTAATGCCCACTGTTGATAGGTATCTTATACTAGTCGCCTTCCTTGCAGAATGCTCCAAGCAGCTATTTCCACTCAGGAATATTTCAGCTTGCACAAATTCCACATGGGTGACACAGAAATTATATGCAGGTCACATCTGCAATGTTCTGCAAACTGACAAGACCATATTTGGGGATTGTGACCACGTTCGGCGCAACCGTACGGACTTGCAAAGAGTTAACGGTTCAAAATGCAGATCCCGGGGCCATCCAGAAATGATAAGAAAGTGAAAGAATTCTAAGCATGCTGCTTTTATGAAAACCAACCCTGCCTGAATAAATTCTTACATGCCGTTTTGTTGTTATAAATAGGAGGCAGCCTGTGTGTTTAAGAACCCATTTATGCTTCGTATGGCTTTAAAAGGGCTAGGCACACAGCATAGCTTGACAGGGAGAATAAACATTTTATAATAACGAGGAAGCGAGTCAGGAATTTGCCCGCAGGCCATTCCCTTGACTTGTTTATGTTGCATATTAAGGGCCTAAGTAGTGGCTTATAATAAAGAGCAGTCCTAAACCCATGAGACTGTTGACTCTTGTTTTTGACAACATATATGTGCAGCTTTTAAAAACCCTTGATCAATGGTCAGCGCAGTGCTGCTATTGCTTTTAGCTCTTTTTGCAACAGCATCCATGCTTGATACCTCCATTTCTATTTACCCAGGCAACAATGCCGGCAGGTACCGATTCTTCCGCCTCCTTTTTCTTTCCAGGACGGCTAGTAGCAAGAGAACCGGGAGACTCAGATGAGGAGAGAGACTTGGATTCAAATCCCTGCTCAGCAAGGGAAGCAAAGTTAAGTAGGGCTTTTCCACCGCATCAGTTGAGAAACCAGAAGCCCTTGGCCCCTGCCAACAGTCACCTAGCAACAGATGTTCCATCAGGTTGCAGAACAGAGCAATGGAAAAGAAGCAGAGGAGATAGACCAGTTGCCTTTCTCTCTCCCCCCTCTCTCTCTCAGCAGCCTTTCCATTCTGTCAAATCTTTCCATCCTAAATCATCATTACAGTGGTACCTCTGAAGTCAAATGGAAGCCATTTGACTTCCAAAACATTCAGAAACCAAGGCGCAGCTTCCGATTGGCTGCAGGAAGCTCCTGCAGCCAATTGGAAGCCACGTAAGCTGCATCAGACATTTGGGTTCCAAAGAACGTCCGCAAACTTCCAGGTTTCCGGCATTTGGGAGCCAAAACATTTGACTTGCAAGGCATTCAGGATCCAAGGTACGACTGTATAAGAACTAGTGGCTGAGCTTTCATTTCCCACCCCCTCCTCCCGCCCCATCCCTTTTTCCTTGTGTGTTGTGTCTTTTAGACTAAACCCGAGGGCAGGCACTATCTCGAAACTAATTTTCGTGAGCTGCCCTTGGAGTCTTTTCAGCTAAAGAGCAGGGTAAAGAGATAAGCTCTGTGGTTAACCCCTCAGAAAATGACCCACCTTATAATCATGCTACACTTTGGGCCCCTTTGTCCTTCACTCATGTGCAGGGCACAAGCGTTTATTTATTTATTTGCACATTGAATTTCTATCCCACCCTTCCTCCCAAAGGAGTTCAGGGTGCCATACCCACCCACAATCTAAAGCTTTCTTCTTTTTTTTTAATATAATTTTTATTAAATTTTCAGTATACATTCCACCAAAATTTAACATCCATTTCTATCATCTACATCTTTTAGACTTCCCTCAGCATGTCTGACAATTTTCCGTATTATCACTTTTACTCACATTTCTCAATTTTATATTGCACTCTAACAATCTTAATCTTATCATATATTTTTTAAGCAATATTTCTACCAATTATTTTCACAGAGCTTCTTGAAAACCAACAAACGTTAATTGCTCCTCACATACATTTTTGATATACTCTGTAAATTTATTCCAGTCCTCGGTGAATCTCTGGTCTCGTCGGTTCCGGATTCTCCCTGTTAATTTGTCCATTTCTGCGTATTCCATCAATTTCATTCTCCATTCTTCCCTCGTAGGCATTTCTTCCTGTTTCCACTTCTGGGCCAACAAAATTCTAGCTGCTGTTACTGCATACAAAAATAACTTATCATCCTTCTTTTTAATTTCATAACCTAATATTCCCAACAAAAATGTTTCTGGTTTCTTAACAAAAGTGTACTTCAACATTTTCTTCAACTCATTATAAATCATTTCCCAGAAACATTTCACTTTTTTACATTCCCACCACATATGATAAAATGTTCCTTCTTTTTCCTGACATTTCCAACACTTATTACTAACTTTATACATCTTACCAAGCTTTACTGGTGTTACATACCATCTATGTATCATTTTCATAACATTTTCCTTTATTGCAGTGCATGCAGTAAATTTCATTCCTTCCTTCCACAGTTTTATCCAATCATTAAATTGAATATTATAACCAAAGTCTTTGGCCCATTGAATCATAGCCGTTTTGACTTCTTCATCTCACAGTCTAAAGCTTTCTAAAGTGGGTAAAACACCATAAGTGGAGCCATTGCTCAGTGGAAACAAGCACAAGCTTAGCATACAAGTTATTTTGTCACTGCCTGTGGTCTACCTAGAGAAAGAGGCCCAAAGCTGAAATGGTACAGTGCTAGGGCTAAATCAGAGTGACTGGAATTGGAAGGGGCCACTAGGATCATCTAGTCCAACCCCCTGCAATGCAGGAATCTTTCACCCAACGTGGGGCTTGAACTCACAACCCTGAGATTAAGGACTTGGCTACATTGGTAAAGATAAAGTGCTTTATATGCGTTAAAACACCGTGACACCAAATAGCACTATGGAGTCCCATCTTTCTTTCTTTCTTTCTTTCTTAACCATTCAGTATTCCATTATTACATCCAACAAAACTTATTTACACAGTTCAATTTATCTTAATGCTGCCCACCTTTTCAAATATACACAATTCCCCCCCCCCAATATATTCAATAAACATTTTCCAATCTTCTTTAAATGTATGTTCTTCTTCTTCTCTTATTCTTTATGTTAGGTCTGCAAGCTGTGCATATTCCATCAGTTTAAGTTGTCATTCTTCTTTAGTTGGGACTTCGCTCGATTTCCATTTTGGGGCTAACAAAACACGGGCCGCAGTAGTGGCATACATAAATAACCTTATTTGACACCTGGGAATTTCCGTCTGAATTATCCCCAACAAAAAGGAATCTGGTTTTTTTTGGGGGGGGGGTTGGGAAAAGTATTTTTAAACATTTTTTTAAATTCATTATGAATTATTTCCCAATACTCTTACCCTTTTACAGGTCCACCACATATGATAGAATGTACCCTCAGTCTCATTGCATCTCCAGCACTTATCTGATTCAGTCTTATACATCTTAGTAAGTTAGATACCATCTGTAAATCATTTTCAGGTAGTTCTCCTCCAAGGAATAACAAGCTGCAAACTTCAGATCGCTCTTCCAAAATGTGTCTAGATCCAGCCTAAGAATCTCATGCTCTACCGACTGAGCTCTCTTGCAGAACTCTAAATCAGAGTGATTGGCGCCAAAAAGGACACATTGCCTTTAGGTAATGCCGCAACTCACTCATGCTCAGGATGCCTTCAGTTTTGACCAGCTCCCATCATTGAGACACACCTCCTCCCTCCCTCCCAACATCAGTTTATTGGGCGGACTGCCAGTCCATTACTTGTTATTCCCCCAGCAGACTTGAAATCACTTCCCTGTCCCACTGTCCTCTTCATGCAGACCAGATGCTGAGCCGTTGCTACACAAGTGGGTGTGCTACACAGGGACTGTGTGTGTGAAGGGACCACTGAGCTGCTAGTGCTTCTTGCTAGAGAAAGCAGTGTGTGTGTGTGTGTGTGTGTGTGTGTGCACTCGCACGCACGTGCCTCATGACTTGCACAGAGGAAAATGCAAAACAGGAGTGACATGCAATGCATGGATGCTGAAATATACTCGGAGTCGAGAGTGGATTTTATGCTCGTTATTCAGCTCATAGTGGTGAGGAGGAATGGAAGTTCCCCCAGAATTTCTGCTTTATATACATTATTTACACAGTGAGCCCCATGTGATTGGCTAATTCCGGGATTCTCCTGTAGGCCAATCAGTTTGTGGATTCACTTCCACCTGGAGCTGGATTGGGTGGCTCCTGTGGACCAATCGGACTGCTGTATTCTGGATCCTATTGTTCTAGGACCAATCAGACTGCTGCATTCTGAATCCTATTGTTCTAGGACCAATCAGACTGCTGCATTTTGGATCCTATTCAACTCAGTACATAACAGGTGCAATGCAATATCTTCAGACGCTGCCCTGCATCAAATAACGGTAACTGCAGTAGAGCCGATCAGCTGTAACCACATGAAGATGGAAATTGCTCCCCAGGGATGCTGCTAGCTCCAGGAGGCAAGCTTCCACGGGTGCCAATGGGAGCTTTTGTCTCAGGACTAATTGGAGCTTTGCATGTATGTGTGCAAAAAGGAATGCGGGTGGCGCTGTGGATTAAACCACAGAGCCTAGGGCTTGCCGATCAGAAGGTCGGCGGTTCGAATCCCCGCGATGGGGTGAGCTCCCGTTGCTCGGTCCCTGCTCCTGCCAACCTAGCAGTTCCAAAGCACGTCAAAGTGCAAGTAGATAAATAGGTACCGCTCCGGCGGGAAGGTAAACGGCGTTTCCGTGCGCTGCTCTGGTTCGCCAGAAGCGGCTTAGTCATGCTGGCCACATGACCCGGAAGCTGTACGCCGGGTCCCTCGGCCAATAAAGCAAGATGAGCGCCGCAACCCCAGAGTCAGTCACGACTGGACCTAATGGTCAGGGGTCCCTTTACCCTTTACCTTTACCTATGTATGTATGCATGAAGGGTGTATCATTGTGACTGCAGGGGAGAAGTGTTAAAACCCCTCATCCTTGACGCCATCTCATCTCTGATCATGGTTCCCACCGCAACTTTTATCTAGGAAGTGGGGAGCTACGCACATTTAACATCTAGTTTGGTCCTTCAACAGCAAAATCACAGAAAACATCAGTGTTACCTGCTCAGTAGAAAGAACCAGGGAATTGGGCCCATCTCTTAAAAACACTTATTTTGCAGATACTTTCCTTTTGTATACAAAGAATACCACAGTGATAATTTCCGCCCTCCCTTCCCCACAGGTGGGCGGAGTTTGCGGCACCGAGCGAGGGCTCACCTGGGCAGGTGCCTCCCACCTGTTTGGGCCAGCCTTTGAGCTGCCCTCGGTCAGGGAGGACAATGGCCAGCCGGCCGGGGTTGGGGCAAAGGCCAAAGAAAGGAGGCTGACCCCTTTGTCCAGGCCTCTTTTGGTTTTCTTCCTTCCCGGAAGTTTCCAGAATGTTGCTTATTATTTGAAAGAGGAGCAGATTGTAAACCTCTGTTGAGTAGGGAATCAGCTTCAAGTCTCTCGATTTTCTTGCTCTCAGCCGGCTCAGCCTTCTCTTCCTTCACTATTAGATTATTTTTATGCTGCAAAAACAGCTGCCCTTGCAAGTTGCCGCTTGCTAGAGACCCATATTTCTCAGACCTGTTCAGCCATACCATACACCAAAAAGGATTGCTGAGGGTGATAAGTCACCTCCCTGCCGCCTTCTCATTATGGAGACAAATCCACAATTTAGACGCATCCCTGTGCAACCGGCGATAATTCTGTCACTGAGGCTTTGGCTATTCGGAGTTGCTTTTGTCACTGAATCTCAGTTTAAAATAAAGTCACCAGACAAAAATCTGGTTAACTTCTGGTGCTTAAGGGAAGAAAAAAAAACGTTAACCTAATTATACCTTACAGTTTGGATCAGTATTGTGCTTCTGGTGGGGTTTTTCAAATTAAAAAACAAAACATATTGCCAAAAAAAAATGTCCATCTGTTCACCCGAACTGCCCCACTAGTTTGCCATCTTGGCAGCCATTTTGGCAGCCACCAACAATTCACTCTAGTTTCAGATACAGTCTGCTCACAAAATTTTCTTCAGTACAGTATTTGTTTTAGTCGGTGGGGAAAATTGACAAATATATTCTGGTTTTTTTAACCAAAAGCATTTTTATTAGGAATTATAGGTACCAACATTCTGAAAGATCAGAAAAGATTTCTTATGTATGGGACAACAGCTGCTTGGATGCTACTGGCCCAGAGATGGAAAGAAGGAAAAGTCCACACCAGAGAGGAATGGCAAGTTAAGCTGATGTACTATGCTGAAATGACAAAACTGACTGGAAAACTCAGGAACCAAGAAGACCAAGAAAACTGTTAAGAATAGGAAAAATTTATAAGCTGTTTAGGAGACCACTGCAAGCAGATGGAAACATTAGCAGGATTTTAATTTCACTTGTAAGAAATACTATGGATAATATGGATTGATATAAAATATAAATTATGGAATAATATGCAGTTATAAAAGCTGAGAATAAGACCCACGGAGGGAAGGAAGTTGTGAGATTCAGAGATGTATTTGGTTTGTTTAAATTTTGTATTTGTAAAATCAAATAAAAAAGTTTTTTGTTTTGTTTTTTTAAAGAAAAGACAAATATATTCTGCCCCAGTTTCTTTAGATAAAGGCAGATCCCCCAGCTTCTACATATACCCCTCTGCCTTTTAGGATAAAGAGGTAAGGCCCACTAGAAATAGCAAAAGAGCATAATCCTCTCACATTTGTCAAAACATCACTCCTACGACATGGGCTTCCTGTAGGGGCAAGGCTCATTTTTTCAGTTATTGCTTCTTCTTTTTTAAAAAAAAGGATAGGAAACAAGCAGACATGTCCTGCCTTCCACCAGCTACAACTAAATCCAGGGACACCTAATGACAATGCTATACAGTCGTACCTCGGTCTAAGAACAGTCCTGTTAACGAACGATTCGGGCAACGCACTCCGCAAAACGGGAAGTAGGTGTTCCGGCTAGCAAACTTTGCCCTGGAAAATGAAGGGATGCTGACCGGTGGAAGGGCACCGGCGGCAGGAAGCCTCAGTTTAAGAATGTTTTCGGTGTAAGAACGGACTTTTGGAAAAGATTAAGTTCATAAACGGAGGTACCACTGTATAACGGCACTATGCATGTGTGTTGAACCAAAGATGAACTGAAGATTCTTCCACAATGTGGAATATCCCACAAGTGTGAGAATTGGTTGTTTTGTTCAGGGATGCCATGGTTTTCCATCAGTGAATGTCGGTGCGCAGGCAATTGTGGATAAAAGTATCCAGAAAAGGAAACCTGTCAGCAAGAACAGAACTTCTTGTATTATTTAATAACTCAGATGTTCTCCCTTGTATCTTTCCCACTGTGTGAAGAAAGAGAGCATTCATGTACTTAGGTATTTATTTAAAACATGTCATACTCATTGCAAATGCAATTCCAGACGAGGGTGTATATTAAAACAAATTTAGATGCATCGTACAAGGAGGAAAAACAAGGCAGATCTGTCCACCAGCAAACTAAAATAGCATCAGTACCAGCACCAGAGTCCACAAAAGCCTGAGTGAAAAACTAGGCCTCCAGCTGCTTCTTGCTGGTCCTGTCCCCTCCTTTGCATTCCCAATGGCCTGGACCCACTGCCTGTTACCCCTCATGCTTTAGGAAGCTTCCTTTGCAATTTAGCATCCTGCAAAATCAAAGTTCTAAATCATGCTTCCATGAGTCTGTTCCTCGCTGCGAACATTCACCCCTGAGTCATGGAGGATGGAATGGGTGAGCAGGTTTGTGTTCTGTCCCCTTAGGTGATGGGAAACATGTGAGGGCAAAGGGCAGCACTGGATGCTAATACCAAATAGGTATTTCATAGAATCATAGAGTTGGAAAGGAACCTGAGGGTCATCTAGTCCAACCCCCTGCAATGCAGGAATCTCACCTAAAGCATCCATGACAGATGACCATCCAACCTCTGCTTAAAAGCCCCCAAGGAAGGAGAGTCCATAACCTCCCAAGGGAGACCCTTCCACTGTCAAACAGCTTTTACTGTCAGAAAGTTCTTCCTGATGTTTAGTCAGAATCTCCCTTCTTGTAACTTGAAGCCATTGGTTCGGGTCCTACCCCCCAGAGCAGGAGAAATCAAACTTGCTCCAGGCAACAGTCCTTGAGATATTTGAAGATGCCTATCCTCTCGCTTCTCAGTTGCCTCCTTCCCAGGCTAAACACACCCAGCTCCTTCAACCATTCCTCATAAAGCTTGGTTTCCAGACCCTTATTAACTTGTATCATTACCTTAAAGGGCTGGTGAGAATGCCTGAAAGGCGGAAGGAGGAAAGAGACTTTTAATCATCTATTATACAGCAACAATGCCCACAAGTAAAATGTATTGGATTAGAATTAATAACTTCATAAAAGAGATTTGGGGATATGAGATCCCACTGGATCCACGTGTGTGTGAGAGAGAGAGAGAGAGAGAGAGAGAAAGAGAGAGAGAGAAACAATATATGTTGCTCAGCCTGTCAGGAGCACAGATAATTAGTTTCTGATACAATCACAGTAATAAAGATATTATATGCCCCCCCAAAAGGGGGGGTCATAGAATACACCCTTCAATGAAGGAATAGACAAACTCTGAGGGTTTGCCTTAATACCTAAATTAACTCAGTGTGTAAGAACGAAGGAAAAGAGACAATGATAATTTTATTATTAATTGAAATCCTTTTGTCGAGTATTGTATGAATCATTCACTATACCCACAAATACAAATGTAAAAAAAATTATTACGGCCATTGAGTTAAAATGTAATTTAAATTGCAATGAAGTGAGATGTACATAGATAAATGTTTAGTTTTTTCCTTTTGATAATCATTTTAGTAACGATTAAAAATTATCACGTGCCTTTGTTTTAAAATAGTTTAATTTGATACATTTATGTTAGTAATGATTATATTAGAAATGATCATAGCTATTTCTTATATATTTGTACCTGTATCTAATCTACAGTGGTGCCCCGCAAGACGAATGCCTCACAAGACGAAAAACTCGCTAGACGAAAGAGTTTTCCGTTTTTTGAGTCGTTCCGCAAGACGAATTTCCCTATGGGCTTGCTTCGCAAGACAAAACGTCTTGCGAGTTCTTGCAAGTTTGTTTCCTTTTTCTTAAAGCCGCTAAGCCGCTAAGCCGTTAATAGCCGCTAAGCCGCTAAGCCGTTAATAGCCGCTAAACCGCTAATAGCCGTGCTTCGCAAGACAAAAAAACCGCAAGACGAAGAGACTCGCGGAACGGATTAATTTCGTCTTGCGAGGCACCACTGTAAGATAAGGAACAACTACTATGACCACCTAAAAGGCTGGTCTAGGCCTCAGCCCTTCTGCTTTCCTTGAGTTTTAAGCCGGTAGTGTTGTGTACACAGCCCTTATGTCCCTCTTTGGAGATGCCTGCAACTATAGCAGATAGTCAGTCAGTAGGAGACACTTCTAGATTCTGCTACATTTGTCCCTGACTGCTGCGGGCCAATAGGGCAAGCCAAGGTAAGCTGCCATATTCACAGTGGCATTCTTGGAATATTTGACAATATTTGATTACAGCCGAACAATGGGCAGTCCGTTGGCTGGTCAATTGACAATATTCTACCTGACATTTGACCAGCATGCCAAACTTAGTTCTCAGATGGTTTCTCATGCAAGTAGCACCAAGAGCCATTCACACTTAATGCAGTTCTGCCCAGGGGCGGAGGAAGGGGTGGGTTGTGGGTGTGGTCTACACTGAGGGGGGGGTGACAAAATGCCGGGCAGCACTCACCGCAGGCCCTGCAGCGTGCCCGAGCCACACGTCTCTCCTGGGAGGCCCGCCGCCTTCCCCTCAGCTGTAGGGTGGCTAAGTGGGAGGAGGTAGGCAGACTCCTTGAAGGCCTCACGGAGCGTCCTGCCCCGGCTCACCCTACGGGCAGCTGCACACACTCCGGGCGCAGGGCACATGCGCCACCACAGACGCCTGATCGACTTGCTCCACTGCTGGTTCTGCCTTCGGACCATTCTCTTGAAGCTTTTTTTGTTTTTGTAGCTTCAGATCATAATGCTATGAGTTTTTCTTCTAATTCTCTGATTACTTTAGAGCAGGCTTCCTCAACCTCGGCCCTCCAGATGTTTTGAGACTACAATTCCCATCATCCCTGACCACTGGTCCTGCTAGCTAGGGATCATGGGAGTTGTAGGCCAAAAACATCTGGAGGGCCAAGGTTGAAGAAGCCTGCTTTAGAGTATGGAACTTAATCATCGCAGCAGGATGAATATTTCTACCTCCATTGCCCCCTGTCAGGCATGACTTGCTCTGAGGTTTTCTTCTTTTTCTTTTTTTGGTGTGGGGTTTAAAATACAGTAGTACCTCAGGTTACATACGCTTCAGGTTACAGACTCTGCTAACCCAGAAATAGTACCTCAGGTTAAGAACTTTGCTTCAGGATGAGAACAGAAATTGTGCTCCGGCGGCGCGGTGGCAGCGGGAGGCCTCATTAGCTAAAGTGGTGCTTCAGGTTAAGAACAGTTTCAGGTTAAGAACGGACCTCCGGAACAAATTAAGTACTTAACCCGAGGTACCACTGTATTATGTCCCTCCAATATTTTCCCTTCAGAGTTTAATTGTGTGTGTGTGTGTGTGTCTGTCTGTCTGTCCGTCCGTCCGTGTGTGCTTTGCTCATGTTACTAGTTCAGATTTCAGTGGATAGCAACCCCAATATTAACAGGAGGATCTTACTCAGAGGCATCTGCCGCAACAGGACGTTCATCCTAAATGTGCTCATTTCACCCAGCCAGTGTACATATTTGTCTCTATAACTGATACGCTGCACTGCTGGATGATAGGCTGAAGCCAAGGCAGATGGCTTCTCCTGAAGCAGAAGCCAAACTCACCTGAGGGGGCCGCTAGGAGAAGGAAGATGTCTGTGCTTCCCTAGCTTTTCGGTGCCCAAGGATCTGGGTGGCAATTCGTAACTCCCAGCCTAATTTTGTGGGGCTGGGAGGTGGGGGAGCCCAGAAGGAGAGAGGGGAAACATGGGGGGTGGAGGAAGAGCAGGTGAGAAAGCCAAACTAGAAGGAGTAGCAAGAGTTCTCCACAAACCATCAGTCCAGATCTCTTGTGAAGAGCAATCTGCTCCCTGCTTCTGGTCTGACAAAAGGGTTAAAGCTTACTGCTTTTGCACAAACAAATGTTTGACCCACACTGTCCCCAGCATCCTATAAGCATTGTCTAAATGTTTACTGGGAAGCTGGACTGAAGCAATGGCTTAACTCTAGGAAGGAGGAGCGGAAAAAATCCTGCAGGGCACTGGCACATTAGCCCACTCTCATTCTGTGAAACTGTACTTAATTTCACAGTTTATAGCAGGGCTGCCTCGTTTTATGAAATATGCACAGCAGTTGTACATATGGCTTTATTATTTTCAGCAGTCAAACTGCAATTAGTTATATCATCAGGCTCACATTGCTGAGGCAAATTAGAGATTATAGTGCATACAGAGCTCTACCTACAATTTACCGCGAG